AACAACACCGACCCACACCCAACTATGACCACTGTTTACCCGAAAAAACATTCACAGGTTTGCTCACCAGTCATCTTATTGAATTATCATTACACATACGATTAATGCAGCTTTTGATCGTTTTTTTTTTATTAATTTATTTGTTTAAAGTACATGAATGTCAAAAATTTCCAGAAAATATCAATTTAAATGTCTTCAAAACCGTGGTTAAAAAACCAAATAAATGAAACTGAAACACGTAGATAACTAACATTGTTCATTGAAGGAAGCCATAAAACTTTCTGAAACGTTTTTTAGAGTTTCCTTTGGAAACTTGGCAGTGACTTAAAAAATGTAATCAATTAATGTTCGTCATCTTCTTCAAAAGGAGATGCTCCTGAAACCTAATCTTATACTGCGATGTTGGTTTCTGTATAATAAATAATCAGATCTCAACTTTCTCAACTAGGGTTCTGGGGTAAAATGTCTTAGCATAACTATGGAACTCCTTGAACATAGAATAACTATGCATCTCCAATGTGTTTTCAACATGTAACTTATTTCTTTATCTGCTGTTTCTGATGTCATAACACGTGACAAACGACTTGATGAGATGATTGAGACTTCCAAACGAGGCTGATTCATGCCTTGTAGGATGGTTTGGTGGTGAAGAGCGAATTTTTCCCTTCAAAGCTACACAATATTAACTCGATCGTACATCATTCCTGGCAGTCTTATGTTAAGTCTAAAAGAAAAGGAGAAAAAAGACGCATGTGAGGCATGTGTAAGGTCAACCTCGTTCCCAAGATTTTCTCCCTCGAGGGAGGAAGAGAGAGAACCCTGAGAACAAGGTTGGTGCAAGGTGACCTTTCGTGGCCAAGTTTGTCAATGAAAAAAACTCAGTTGCTTTGCAAATGTGTTTTGGAATTAAAAGCGGTTTTATACTTTAGTGCCGACCTGTACCTGATTACTCAAACTATAAGAGGAAATCATGACTGAAATAGCAGAGACAGACGAGGACAGATGTTTTTCCCTTTTCCTGCCGTCGCCGCTTCCGTCCCGTCGTTTTAGTGAACATCACAGCATAACGCACTTGTACGGCTTCCTGGTTGTCAGTATCGTTACTAACATTACATTTCTATACTAACTGTATACGGTAACCTTACCAAAATGCGCGATTTTCCATTTTGAATTTACTTCGTTTGGAATGAAAGATCGGCGCCTGACTAGTAACTGCGACCGGCCTAAATTTGAATTCGATTGTACGGCTTCTGAATCGGCCCTTACAGAAGAATATCAGCTGAAATAACTTACGTTTTTTGTCGTAACAGTACTCTTCTTTTGAACAAATAAAGCATAACACCCACGATAACAATTAGACAAAAGCCAACAAGCGAAGCAGAGAGAATTACTTCTTGATTTCTAGAAAAGAACTTCTCGTTAGATTCTGCTCTTTCTGAAAAATAAATAAATAAAAAAAAGAAAATGCTAAATTGCAAGTTAAAAGTAAGTGAAAAGGGTGTTTTCGTATTTTCAGTTCCCAGCTTTTATTGATCAGAACAGAAAAGCCAGAGAGAGAAAAAAATCATGGTGAAAAAAACTACAAGAAATTCTGCTCTTGCCAAGTAAAGTAATACAAGAACACATCACGATTGACACCCGAATCTATCTTTCCCTTTTTCATACGTAGGACATACGTTGTTTGATTTGACTCGTAAACAACTCAAAAATTTTCAGATTCCTTTGATCTATATTCCAATATCTGATGATAGGTCACGAGTTGCTATTTTGCACACGATATTACAAACTTCTTTAGTCTTAAAAAATTATTTTTACCTTTTTCAAATGATGCGGTGGAAACGCTTGGAAAAACCTTTACGGTGGTTGTGTTTGCAGTTTTTGAAACAGGTGTTGAGTTGAACGCTGTCGACGATTTTTTTTTCCTGTGAATGAAGGACTAGAATCTGATCCCGATGGCGTAGAGAATGTCATCAAGATCGTGCTGGATGCCGTTTTCGCCGCCGTAGTAGTCGGAGTTTCTGTAGTACTTGACAATGTAGACGATGACGTAGTTGATTCTGATGACGTAGATGCTGTTGTAGCAACTGTAGTTGTTTCTATGGTCGTTGTTGGTGCAGCTGATGACGTAATGGATTCTGCAGTTGATGACGCGCTGCTGTTGTGGCAATTGATGTTGTTTCTGTGGTAGTTGGTGGTGTAGATGATGACGTAGGCACTGACGTAGTTGCTGTAGGTGCATCTGTGATACTTGGTGGTGAAGACGATGACGTGGTTACAATAGTCGGCACTATTGTCTTGAATGACGTAGACGGTGGCGTTGTTTCTGCTGTGGAAGTTGGTGGCGTGGTTGATGCTACAGTTGATGGCAATGTAGAACTCTTTAAGTTTCCTATTTTCCAGCCCTCTGTGAATTCCCAGAATGAAAAACATGTTAGTGCTGTTTTTCGTTTGTTTAACTAAGAAAGTCAGATGTTCAGTAACCATACCTCAAGCTCGTCACTCTGACTAGTTAAAATAAAACTTAACTAGGAATAGTTCACTGGTTCTCCCTGTTGAATACTTTGTTGTAGGGCCAAATCAGCCCGCATTTCACTTTTGATTGGTTGAGAGAAGACCGTTAATCTAAAACAGTAGATAACGAAAACAGAGCATCTGCGAATTTGCTTTTAAAATTCTTGAAACGCCTGCCACTCGGCTTGATTACCGAACCGCTACTTCCACAAGATGGGCCAAGCGCCAAGCGGCAAGCGAGCCTTATCTGGCACAACTTTGCTACTTAAGCAGTGTTTATATGTTGAAAACAGAAAAATGGAAAACATGATGAACAAGAATAAAAACGCAGCTTTGCAAAACAATAGCTACACTTCGTTCTAAAAACCGGCCCTAAATGAGTTTTGTCCTTCGCTGTGAAGAACTTGTAGGTGACGAGTGCTTACCCAAAATACTGAAGTCGAAATCAAAGACTTTACTACGGTTCCCGTAAGGTGTTTGACATGCGACTTTGTTCCGTCAAATCTTTAACAACTGTAGGATGGGCTGTTATCCACGTTTGGAGCCATTTAAGTTTCTTAGTGCACACGGGAGGGTTGTTAGGGATCCAACTAAAACAAAACGGAAAAAATGTTAGTTGAATCCAGGGAGATGAATGTTTGTAAATTCGACAACTTTGTGCCTCGGACGACTTATTTTTTCTTGACTTTGGAATCTAAAAGGCTACTCCATAAGGGAAGACTTATCAAATACAGTAAATCCTGTATTAAGCAGACCTGCATTAAACTTTCGCTTTCTTTCCCTTCATCACTGTAAAACTGACCTGTATTAACAGGTGATTAAGAAGTCACCCCGCGGCCTGTATTATCTGGTCGCGTTCACCTTTTCCGCTATCCCAACGAGTAACCTTCACCTTGTTGAACGGTCACTTTGACAAGATGTACCATCATGACTAGTGCAATTGATACACTGTGCATGATAATCAGTGGTCTTTTACCCCCTTTTTGGTGCAGGAAGAGGTAGAAACACTTTATAGTCAATTTGTCAACTTATGGTGGCAATATTTTGCTTTGTCACCATCTTTATTTTCTTGATAAGCAACCCTTTTAAAATCAGAATCGTGTCTCCGTGTCCTCATTCCGTGAAGCACCGTATCTCCCTTACGCAGGAATAACACTCTCTAACAGTTTGCATGTTCGTTTCTGTTTTTAGCCACAGTTCTCCTCTGTTTTGTGCTCGTCATTACTCCGTCATTCCTCTTGGCCCTTGGTCAGGGCTTATTCAGTGGGTTGATGGTGCTGTACCCATCTTCGCTTTATTCAAACGCTGGCAACAAAGGGAAGCCCTGGCTGCTGTACTGGTGAAAACTACACAGATACTAAAATAAAAAAAAGGAATATGTAACTGAAGTTTGTCTACGGCTTGGCCCACCAAGTCTTGTTATGGTACATGTCGACTGACAAAAGTCCGGTGAATTTGTGTGTCAGGTTGTAATATCACCTTTCTGGAATTCCAAGGCAAAGAATTTGGCTTGATTCCAGGTTGTTGTGCCATGTATTAAGCACATGGAGGTGATGCAAGCAAGGCTGGCCGAGGTCACGCCACCACTTTGACAAGACGACAGCGCTCCTTGTTAGTAATAATTTGATATTTATTGGAACTTGTTTGTTAACTAAAGTTTTGTCTCCATTCCAGGATGCTAATCAACCACCCCCTCAGCCAATGAAGCCAAGTGAACTGTACTACAGCAAAGTCACTCCTGCCTTGAAGGAGAAGGTGACAACTGATTTATATGATAAGAGATACATGTAACTTTCCATTTAGACAAAAGATGACACCTGGTTGTGCTTTTTATTTTTCCCTCACTTTTTATTTCTTTGTTTATTTTTTCTTTCAGGGTATCACTGATCTGTCTAATAGAAGAGACTGGCCCCTGTCTGTTATGCGACAAGTATTGGAGGAGCTTATGAAGGAAACACCTGGTGACCTCTTGGCCAAGTAAGTAGCCAAGTGCCCCACCCTCATTCGCTATTTGCTCAGTACATTTAAAACTTACCTTCTTAGCTAGACTGCAACTCTAGTGCTAAGGATTTAATCTTATTGCTAAAAAAGCAAGCTTTTGTGTGAGCCTTTTCTAGAGAATGAGGGAGATATATCTACTCCAGGAACTTACAATCCGGCGCACATTGTAAACATTGATTTCAAATTTTTCTCTCTATATGTAGTATGCGCTTCTTGAAAAAAGTCAACTCTCATTGTCCTGAGTTCAAAACAAAAAAGAGATTTTGCAAACGTACCGTGGTATTTTACGCAATAAAGTGTAATTCATTGAGAAACCCATTGCATTGCATTATTCATCCAGACTGCATACGTAGAGCAAAAATGATAAGACTGCACGTTGTGTTGTTTAGGGAGCTATGGTGTTCCAGTACAAGTGCAGCTGAGTGGTGGCAGATGACTCAAAGCTATGCTCGCTCTACTGCTGTCATGTCTATGATTGGCTACATTATTGGCTTGGGAGACAGACATCTAGATAACATGCTGGTGGACTTCACTACTGGGGAGGTGAGGAGCCCGAAGCCTTCTGGGAATATTTTATAGAGGTTAACATTTAATGGGTAAAAGATACATGCAGTCTTTTCAGATACCATTTTAAAGTTCAGTCCGTTGTTTATTAATGTCGCAGACAAGTAAAAAGACGCTAGGGTGAGAGGAGTACCCAAGTGTTGTCCATGACCTTAGCGTTGTGTTATCCCTCTTTCCCGTGATGTTGGGTGACTGGCGAAGACTGCCATGGCAATTACTAGAGTCTTCACATGTTATCTCTATGGCTTGTGAAAACATCTGTTACTCACCGGTCCCCACCGCTGGGAACGTTTCACCGCCACAGTGACGTTTCGTGAAATGTTCCCAGTGACGGGTAGCAGTAAGAAGCGACTGTATTCAAAGACTGATATCAATACTAGTAGGTAAATTCACTTAAAATGCAAGCTTCTTAACAGTGCTTGTAGTGTCCCTCTCCCTTAGACAGTTTCACCCACAACAATGATTATTCCATCACGTTTGTCGTTCCCCAGAAATCATTGATCCCATATGCTCAAGATGTTTGGCTCTTTGTTTTTTCAGGTTGTACATATTGATTATAACGTGTGCTTTGAGAAGGGGAAAGGATTGAGAGTTCCTGAGAAAGTTCCCTTCAGGATGACACCAAACCTGGAGACGGCTTTAGGAGTTACAGGGGTGGAAGGGGTATTCCGTCTCTCTTGTGAAGAAGTCCTAAAGATTTTAAAGCAGGGACGCGAGACACTGCTCACTCTTCTAGAGGCTTTTGTTTACGACCCTCTAGTGGACTGGACCACTGCAAATGATACTGCTTTCGCCAGGGCATTCTATGGAGGAGGAGCTCCGGGCGTCGCTGACAACAAAGTGAATAAGAAGGAGATGGAGAGAGATGTGACACAGAGCTTGTTTTCTTCACGTGTGGCTGAGATGAAGGTTACATGGACTAACAATAGGTAAGCACAGTATAATCTGTATTGTCATTCAGCTGATTGTATGCAGTGAATAGTGGATGCGCTTCCTCCATATCGGCGGCTTCTTCACGAAAATTCCTTGATAAGTTGGGTTACTTTTCTGACAGTCACACTGCAGAGATGGTTTCATAAGTATTTTCGCAAGATTCATGATTGGTAGGAACGACCATAAGTAGTAAATTGGACAAAGATCCAATACATGGAAGTTGATTGTTTTAATAGTAACTGAAAGTCGCCCGCCCCCGATCATAACACTGTAAGTCTGCGTGGTTCAGATGATAAACAGTTGAATATTATTATTTTAATATGTAACTACGAGGTTTTTTTTTTAACATGGATGAACTTTTTTCTGGCATGACAAAGTTAGATGAACAGTTAGATATGTATCTAGGGTCGCTGAAACAACTGAAAATGTTGGACTTGTCGACTGAGGAGCTTAAAGATCAGCAGGAAACTCTACAGGCAGCCATTAGTAACCCTCAACATCCTCTTCACACAGTCCAGGCCAAGTAAGTCATTCCTTGGAATTCTGGGGAAAAAAACTTCCTAAATTCTCTAGTTATTGATATTTTTACGCATCAGCAATAAACAAAATTGCCCTTTCAAGTGGCTTTACTTCTCTTTTGTACAAGCGTTTTTAGGAGAGGGTGCACTCGTCTCTTGCTCTACTTCAACACCAATAAACCACGTAGTTTTTTTTTTTTTTTTTTTTCAGAATACCAGTTGTATTAGAAAACCGCAGGTCATCTCAGGAAGGGGGGGTGCGCACCCCCTGCACCCTCCCCTAGATCCTCCCCTGTCAGGGAAATCCCGACTCAAGCTGTTATACGTGTTCGGTTTATTATTATGGAAATTTGGACTTTTTACTTGACACGCTACAAGTTTCACCATTTAAGCTATTCCTCCTATTTTTTTGGTGATAAGAATTATAATTGTACTTTTCCCCCAAGATTTGATGAGAAAAAGAAGCTGTTGACTGATCATGATGCAGTGTTACAAACCATTTCAGAGAAACTTGCTGAATGTCAACAATGGCAAGCCCAACACAAGGTACAAAAACCACTACCCTAGCGAATGGAAATTTTTATTCTTCTTGCTGGAACAAGCCGATAAACATGATCTTTCCAATGACACCTCAACTTTTACATGCAGGTCCATGGTCCTTGTACGACGTGTGACGTTGTGACTGATCACGACTCCAGTAATAACTTATCTTGCGTTGTAAATATGTCTGTAACCCCAAGAGCAAAAAAAAGGACAAGTTTAAACGCAGTTGGACCATCTGTTCTCCTTAGAAGACTATTAGGGTTCTTGATTACACTCAACCAGTCAAGTTTTTTAGTAATCTATGGTGGTAGCTATTTTTATCATGTAATGCTGTGTCCCTTCAATGGCGTTAATGTGTTAATGATTGCTTTTTTCGCGCCTTGCTCTTGCCGTCTACTGACGAACTGATGTGTTTGTTGTTAAAAGGCTGCAATGGTGACAGTTCATGGACCACAACTGGCATCTCTTGCTAGTGAACTTCTTCAGCCACTGGATCTAGGTACGGTAACACGTGAATCAGTATTTAATACCTGCCTTACACAGCATAGGTAAATCTAAAGTAGAAAGTCATTTACAACGCAAAGCATGAAAGAACTTTCATAAAAAAAATAAACAGAGATCCGGCCAGGCAGCAACAAGACAAATTTAAAAGACGGAGTGGCTAATAAGCACCCTGTGTGACATATTTAGGCTATGATTATTTTTTGAAGGTGTGGTGCTAATCAACAGCTATACTTCAAAATCCCAAGAATCTTGAAGCATGCACTGCACATGCCCGGCCCTCCTGGTGCATATTATCCATAGTCAGCAATGAAATGACTCAGTTGCGAAGCAGCTGATAAACATGGCTGTCATTTCAAACTTCAGTGACTAAGATCTTTCATTATATTGCCTCCCAGGTCTACCAAGTTTTGCTCCAGCCATCAGTTTCCTTCAAGGTGCTCGCCAAGGGCACATAGTGAACCAGGTGATTGAAGCATTCATCAGAAAATGGTGCATCAATGCATTCTTCCCTCCACACCCCTCCAAAAAAAAGCGATCAAAATTGACGACGGCGGCCGGTTCGATTCACAAGTTTCAGTATACATCCGTCCAGCCTGTCCATAGTGCAATGTAACAAAACGTAATGTAGTACAAAAGCCACTTTGGAGTTTTTTTATAGTAATAACTTTAAAGAGGAATGTACCAGCTGCTTCTGGTAAATTTCCTCTGATATTGATACTCATGTTTGATGATCAGCTAGGACTGAATCTTGGTGGCATTGTCCCTTAACAGTCAAGGACGGACAAGTTCTCCCTATTTTAAACACGTATGAATTGACGAATTGTAAATTGATTCCCTCCGCAGATTATGACTTTAAAACGCTCCTATAGCTGCTCTTTGATTGGGTTTGTTTTATCTAGTTTTGTGCTAATGTAGGTCTTTTGTTTATATTCAGTGTGAACAGCTGGAAACTGAACTGTCGGGCCTGCTTCACCAGCGACGCACCATGTTCCGTACTTGTCTGGATTTGCTCCATACCTATGCTACTGTGACAACTCTTGTATGTGATAAGATTTGCTGCTTTTTAGTTATTTCATTTTTATACAGTAACGTAAAACCTTCTGGGTTTGAGGATTGTTATATTAAGATTGTGAATATCACATTGAACATAACACACCCAGTTTATTAATCTACGATGTGGTTTGTCTGCAGTTTCCGCCAGATTATGTACAACAGAACAGGAGTTACGAGTGGCAGAGCTGGCTTCAGTCAATAGTACAAGATTCGTCCACAAAGAAGTACGAGTGCGATTATATTTTTTTAATGTTATTGTTTTGTCCTGTTTTGTTTTTGGAAGAAGATGAGCTTGCGTTAACTGGTCTCAACTTAATCATGATCTCCCACGGTAAAGAAATGTGACATGTGACTTGACTTGAGAAAGTTAGCGTGGATAAAGTCTTACAGTTCTCCTTTTAAGATGGGTGCTGTATGATGTTGTTGTCTTTATGGAATGGTAATTGTAAAGATTTATATTTTTCCTATAGTTGCCAAGCTGTGCTAGAGACAAGTGAAAAGGTACACAGTAAGCCGGTAGCTGACAGTCCTCTGACTCTAGCAGAAGTAACTGGGTTTATGGCCATGGAGGTGAAACTACAGAGTAGTCTGACAGAGCAGAATGCCAAGTTTATCAAGGTAGTTACTGCTGATATTTTTTATAACCTTTCTCTCTCAGACTAAGTATCATCCAGTGTTTTTGGCCCCCTTTGCAAATATACGTGTTGAGTCTAAGGTGAAAATCATAGGGCTGTTTGCCGTTACCATTTAAAGAAAACGCTTTCAGCAGTGAGTTTGTAGAGTACTATTTGGTTCATTTGGTAGGGGTTTTTACAAAATTATAGATAATATTGTGATCTTATTGCGTATTTTCTAGTTTTCTGAGCGGCGAAAGCAAGAAAGTGTTGAGACAGCGTTCCTCAGCAAAGCTGTCGGTGAAGCATATGCAGCTTTAAAGAAACATCTTACTGGTAAGATTGCTTAGAAAATCATTGCTATGTATAGTACAAATATACTTGTGAAAATTTCGACGAAACACAAGGCTGAAACTGAAGATTTCTTATGCCATGCCTTCTCAACTAACTTAGTCAACTTTTCTTTCTGTATACTCCCTCTCTCCTTCCCCAATGTTGAGAATAGCTTTTATTTGCAAATGGGTAACACGTGAATCAACATTGGCGAGGGCGTAACGGAAGTAACGTGACAAGTGTTTCAACAAATGTGGCAAATGTTGTAGATAAGGCAGTAGTCATCTGGAGAAAGGCCAAAAACATCCCTACTATGCTACTTATGTCCACAAGAATGAGTTTAACTTTGTCATCTCAAGTGATGCACAAATCCTCGATGTATTATCATTAATCGCATAGATTTGGCATACCTCATGAATTTCCCAGTACAGTTGCATTTTGTTAGTTAGGAGTGTTGTGGTTCTTGTAACTAACAGATATATTTGACACTGTTTTACAGGGAAGCAGCAACCCACATCTTTTCGATGTCTTGCTTGTGTACTGATTACCGCACTTTGCTCTCTGAATAAAAGGTGTCTCGCAATGGAAAACACAGCAAAAGGTTTGGAAACTAAGAAATATATAAACAGTTTTCTAAAAGAAAACTTTGTGGCTCGCGTAGCTAGCAGATGTGGCTGTATTCCTTATTGATTTTGTTCAAATCAAAAATTCAATACAAAGAGATATAGAAAGTCCGGCAAAGTTTTCGGAAACCATCCTAATACTTATCTTTTTGTTTTCGTCACTGATATTTGGAGCCTCGTTTCGATGATGAGGCTGAGGCGTACTCCGTAAATAGTTGGGTAGATATTATACCTGATCTAGGACTAGATGGGTTTCGAAAGCGTTTGACGGAACTATCTAAATTTCGTTGGGGTATGAAGAATTATTTCTTTTCCATTGATTGCTCTTTAAGTGAATCTCCATTCTCTAACTTATTTGGTGATGTTGTGAGACGTGATATTAAACAGCATCATTCAGTTGACAACCAGTATTGTTTTTCGTATAGTGGCCAAGGACAGATTATCTGATCTAACATCAAGAGAGGGAGACTGGTTTCTTGACGAGCTGTGTTCCATGAGTGGTAATGTTAATCAGCTTCTCTTGCTGCTCAAGGATTACCCCTTGGTAAGTGAGAGGCAAATTATTACTCTTGAATTCTTGGCGGCAGGGCAAGTGAGCCCTTTGCGTTAAAGAGGCACGTGTTACGAAACACTTCGCTGACCTCGTCCAGGACCTTGACAAGAAAGGAAATTAGCTTATTAAGTGATTCTAGCTCTTTGTTTCCTTTGCCCCACTTCGTCTCTTGTTCTCCGGTATGGTGATTTTGGCCCATGCGACTGTTTAGCTGCAAAGGACCAAATCTCCTCTTCATACGCATAGACGAAATACCGTAAAACTCCGAAAATAAGCCCCTCCATGTATAGGCCCCTCCAAATATAAGCCCCCCAAACTCGTAACGCAAAAAACCCTCCGTTAAATCGCCCCTCCGAATATAAGCCCCCCGGGGGCTTGTACTTGGAAATTGCCCTCAAATACAAACTAAAATAAAGCAAAAACGATCAATTTACGTCCAACTATACGGCTAGCCCAATCGATTTTGAAACGCAAATTTCCCTCCATAGATAAGCCCCTTCAAAAATAAGCCCCTCAAAAAGGGCCTTTGAAAAATATAAGCCCCGTGGCTTATTTTCGGAATTTTACGGTAACTTGGAAGGAAATTCTTGGCAGTTTATCCAAAGTCCTTTAAGGCTATTTGCCACTCATCCCTTCAGTTAAAAAACGTTCAGAATGGTAAAACACCTTTTGGTCTTGCTGTACCCCAAGAATCCAAAGCATCTACTATGTGTTTGCCTATTCTTTGGCAACAGGAGGTAAAAGAGGATCAACAGTCCTTGTTAAGCTGGGCGCAGAATTCCATGAAAGCTGTCTTGGGAGTACAGAAGGTGTTTGTGGCGTTGCAGGTACAGAAAGATCTTCAGTTTCAGTTTTTTTGTTGCGTAACCTTGTGAATGAATTTTTTTAAAATCCAAAGAATGCTAGACTGACTGACGCTGTTTAATCAATAGGAACTGATGACAAATTTCAGGACAATCATTGTTCCAGAGGCAGTGAAAAGTATCTACGCCGAGGATCCAACTGTGTTTGCTGTTGTCCAACAGCTCGAAAAGGTGGTGTGCTCACAAAAGATAAACTTGAAAGAACTGGCTGACAACATTGAAGCTCGTCTCCTGGAAAGACATGCAGCGACCGAGGTTGGTTGACTTAACATACAGGGACAAAAATTTAAATTTATTCTTTTGGCTTCAGCCTACGACGTCAGTTATTTAGAGAGGCTTGAAACGAACCTGCGAGGCTGTCGGTCTGTAGAGATGTGCTCATCTTTGAAAATGTGGGTTCTGTTGAACCAATCGAAGGTGATGCTAGTCAAGAAAACAGTCACTGTCGTTCTTATCTCTAAGACGCGAACTGTTCCAGTTCGGACCGGCCCCAAGTGTCCGCCCACTAAACTTCGAAAACGTACATCATCCTCCCTCCCACCATGGCAACGACGCAGTTCCCTTAGACCCACCAAGCCCCTTTATTCCATAGCTACAGTCGGCGACAAAATGAGTTGAGACACTTCGCCCAAAACTGGGCTTTTTTACGTTTTATTGACTTCAAAAGGAGGAAATATAGCTTTCCTCCCCCATCCCCTCCGTGCAATGTTGTGCCCTTGTTCTAGCTACCTATAGAAAACAAAAACTCCCCAACTTTGAATGGAGGGGACAGGGGAGGGGTGCGGATTCTTTTGTTCTCCGAAGTTACCCTATTTAAGTACAATGTCTCAACAATTTTGTCGCCGATTGTAGATTGAACTTTTTTATTCGAACCCATTCTTTAATCGGTTATATTGTAGGAATTGAAGGTAATGCAGACACCAAATTGGTTGTATAGCTCTCTCTTCTGCCATCCTTTTCTCTCGCACTACATCTCTCCCGCTACCCATATTGTCGTCTTGAAATTTTGGTAACTTACGCCGATTTTGCTGACCCTCTTTTTAGGTGCATAGTGCAGAGGAGGTCGATACAGCAATCCAAGAAATAAGTGCTCAGTTTGAGAAGCTGCTACATACCAACAAAAACTCCGGATCAGATTCAGGTAGATTAGAAATATATCATTGAAAATAACACACCGCCATGCAATTACGTTTTCCATCTACTCGTGTCTGAAGCATCACTTGCCCTGTATGTCCTAATGTTTGATTTAAAGGTGATCTTTCCTCTGTTAACTTCCTTTCATAGAACGGCAGAGACGGCTTTTAATGTTAATCCTGTGTGTGAGCGTACTAACAAGGCAATATACATTTTTTTATAGCCCTTGAACCAGCTTGCACAGTCATTTTCAGTTTGCAGTTCAGTTAGAGCGATTAAATACTGCTTTGTCAGGTTCTCCCTTAATAAGTGTATATAGTGTTTAGATCACCAGTGTTCTTTGCGAGATAGCATTTCACTCGAATCACAAAGTGTCCAGTGTCCGTCCTAAGTGGGCAAATTGAAGAAAAAAATGTGCGAGGTCTTCTCCATGACAAACACTATCCGTGTTAAGCCTAAAGTGGGTGACGGCATTAATCCGGTATTCTTAAAAGTGATGTTACACGGGGACGATTTTCAACGGTGATTTTTAGCCCAGCACAACGTTGCAGTGTTGAAACAGTGTTGTAGCTATTCGAAACAGTGTCGCAACAATCATGCAACGCTATGTTGCGCTAAAAATCGTCGTCGCAAATCGTCTCGTGTAACGTCACCCTAAAGAGAGGTTCAACTGTAATGGAAATGTTAGTAGACCTTTGCCCAGTTGTTCGAACGCGTGTTAGCACTAACCCAGGGTTAAATTTTAACCCCGGTTTCTTTACCTTTTTATCAAAAGCACTCTCTCGGATAATTTTCTCTACTCTTTTTAGAGTATCCAAAGATCAAATTGTTGGCAAAGAGAATTTAACTGAATTTTCTTTTTAATCTCTCATATCTGAGTTCAAATTTCGCACTTACCCAGGGTTATCTTAACCCAGCTTCGAACAACCCGGCCCTTAATAATAATGGCAATTTTCGTCCTTTGTTTTGGGTTATAAGGCGAGGACAGTAGCGGCTCCATGACTTCAGGTCAGATGTTGCTTGCAGGCTTCAATGGACTCTTCACCAAAGTTGCGGGTGAACTTACAGACATGTTCACGTCTTTTGAACAAGTGCACTTCGATAAGTTTGAGCTGCAGTTTGATATTGTTAAAGACGCACAAGATCTTCACGTAAGGTTTTTCTTAATAACGTGTATTACACGGGATAAGCGTATTCCAAGCAATTTTCATGACTTTGTTTATGTCACCAATTGGTGCAGTGCGCCAGAAGATTTTGGCATGTTTATAAAATTCACTACTGCCATTTTAAATTATTTATAACTGTTCACCTTATCATTGACATATTGAATTGTTCCGAAGTGAGTTATTCTAACTTGGTTAAGAAGGGGAAAAAGACAGTAATAACAAAGAGATGCATTCTTCTCTTTCAAAACCTTATCACCGTGCATCGATCTCACAAGTCCACAGACACTTCAGTTGAAAGAAAAGTACTCGCTTCTGATCGGCTAACGAATTATCAAAGTAAGATTCCCTTTGTCGTGAACATGTCTCGTGACTTGTCAATAAAAGTTGGTTAACCCCCTTTAAGTTCGTTGTACTGTAATAATTCGTGATGTCTATGTATCTACCACCTGCGAAAACAAATAAGTATATACTATTTGCGAAAACAAACCAAATCGAGTTAGCAGATAGATTTTATCTTTTTAAAGAAGGCGCTAAATCTCACAAATGTACCAACAGGCAACTAATAGAAGTAAGAAAAGACAGATCTGTTACCTGTTTCGTGCGACACGTGCTGCTTATTTGAAACGCTATTTACGCTTGTGCTAAGAAGTTAAGATGAGTTGTTTTGTATGCTTTAAAGTACAGTGATGCTATAACTTTAATCTATTCTGAAATACTTTTTTTCTTTGTCTCTTTTAGCTGACAAATGGTACTAAAAATGCTGAGCTCCTCGGCAAGTTGTTTTTCCTCAAAAGGCTGGAAGTTATCATTTCGTTCTTCAAGAGCTGTAGGCTGCTTACACTTTCTTTGAAAGGTACCTGAACTATCTCTGTTTACAATTTTGACGTTCTTTCCTAAGTAAAGGCAAAACAGTGAAAATTAGAAGGAAAACATGTGAAAGGGATAGTGCAACCTGTGGTAACTGGTAAGCAAGCAATCTCTAGCCAAGGCTTAGGTTAGATAAACTCCAAGTACCTAAAAGATCTAGGAAAAATTTGATCTACCCTAATTCTTGATATGTTTAACTGAGGAACTATAGCCTTACTCAAAAATCTTTTGCATTCGCTTGTTACAATTCGTTTTTTTGTTGTAAGGACCTATTCGTTGTGGTGTGAGTTGTTTTACTAAGATTGTTTTGGCTTCTTCCGACCCGGAAAAGGGTGTCCTTGTCCGCGTACAAGGTGTGCCTTGTTATGGGGGTTCATTTTACAATGTTTTAGTATTAAAATATATGGGGACCGCAGCTAATTGTCCTGTAGCAGAGGTTCCACTGTTTTGACCAGAGTTCATTAATCTGAGCCACAAGTTAATTGTGCCTTGATTTTACTCTGGGTTAGGTGTGTCTAGTTCAGGGAGCAAACAAGGAGCCATAAATTGTTCAACAAATGCTTCACACAACTTGTTCGCCAACACAAACAACATATGTGCTGAGACCAAAACATGGAACCCAGATACTTGTTACAGTGAAGATGATCTGGCTTTGCACGTCAAGCATTTCATAGCTGATTGCGTGCAGCAGTGCATCATGGGCTTGCCATCACAGGCCTTAGCTGTAGTGGTCATCACATTCGCCAACATCTTGGGAAATAAGAATGAGAGTTCCAGTGATGAAGGTGCTGTTTCTCTCGAGGATCATTGCAAGAAGGTACGTACCTTTACGAGGACTGACTGACCTGTAAACTAGCTTTATAGCGGAGCTCCACCCGCGCGCGTGGGCAGAGCCCCATAGCTAAGGAAATGTGGTAATCTACCCATCGCAGAAAATTTGGTAATCACGTGACCGTACACCGAGCGAGCGACCGTCCGTCCGCACCACAGGCATACCAATGTAAAATAACTCAATCAACAGGTATGGGAACCCAAATGCAACTCAAGGTATTATTTGGAAGAAAATCACATGGCCGCCCGGACTTTTAGAAAGAAAAAAGTCGTGTCTTTTTCGGCGTTATTTTTTATGTGTACACTAACGTGGATAACAGAGAAAGAGCTAGACCGAGTTATTAAAAATTCGAAGGAAGAAAAACATGATAATTCAAAGCGGCGGTGAGAAAATGAGAAATGTTAGCGGCCAGCAAGGTGAAAATGAGCGGCAGTGAAAATTAAAAGCGAACATGAACACTGGAAACAAAATATTGGGTAAGCACATACGACAATTTCTGCATAAAAATAGTGTGTAACTAGGAAGTTTGACGTTTTAGTCGTGCAAAACAACGGCAAGGGAAAGACAAAAAAGCGTGCTGCACGTGCAAATTTGTTTTTTGCTAATTAGAAGAAAAGTGTGCTGCACGTGCAATTTGTTTTTTTGCTAATTAGACCTATTAGTCTTGAAGCCATTGTCACTGTTGTCCTCCGTTTAGCATTACACGATTTAATTTTTTTGTTTACACGTATTATTAACCAGAGCTTCGCTTTTAGCCCTGGCTAAATCTATATATTAGCTAAGTGTTAGTCACGTTAATAAACTATGTTTGTATGTATGAGGACAGTAAGGAGACGGTATGGCTGAATAGCTTCGGACAGTAGATTCCAACTTCCGGGTTTAAATCCTACTTTGGCTAGGATGGGGTAGTTCACTGTTGCCTTGGGTTAAACTCCTCGGTGATGCCTTTTACTTGTAAATAGGATTGCCTCCAGCTTGTTAACATTCCTTCTTGTTGTTTTAAGCTAGCCTTTACCTTCCCTTCTCCCCGCGATTTTTTTACACTTTCCCCAAACAGAGAGCCTGTTCACAGGCTATTTTAAGTTTATTGCAATATTTCTCTTTATCCACATCATTTTTCATTTGCATACTTCATGGCTAAATGTAACCTAGTACTACGGTTAGTACTAACTTTTCTGTTGTTAAAAGGCATTCGTTAAGGATCAACTTTGTTTGAAAATAAAATTAACACTTTTCTGTTTGGTTTGCTAGGTTGTTGATACCAATGTATCCAGTGGGTTCATAAAATCAAAACAGCTCTCCCAAATGAGCACCTTGACAAGTTCCTATGATGTGGCGTGGAGAAAGCATGATTTCGCTAAGTATGTAACGGATGTTATCCCTTACACCTTTTCCCGTTCATGGCGAGTGTAACAGCTACATACTGCATATTAAAGGTTTTTTTTTTTTTTTTTTTTATTGCGTGGTAGTCGTTAAAGACATAACCTAATCTTTGATTGTGTAAGAAACAGCCGAGCTTTTGAAACCCATCTTGTTTTCAATGATAGCATCACTTCTGTGCGGCCCTTAATGCAAGTTCTCTTCTTAGGGAGCGGGAGGATAGCCCTGGTTGGGTTTCATCACAAGTCCTCGCCAGCAGCTTGGCAGTTATCATTTTGTTAACCGTACAAACAGGAAGACTTAATACATTTTTAAAAGAAATTCTTTGTCACTTGTTTATCAGAATAAATGGTAGAACTTATTTTACCTTCGAGTTGCTAACAATGCTAATTAGTGACAGAAAAAAGCTGGAATAAATCCAAACTGTTATTTTGATATTTCTCGTTTACTAAAGAATTTAAAAACCTACGCTTCATGACCAATAATTACTCCATAGTCTGAGACTCATGCTTTTCTTAGTCCCTCTCTCCGCGTTTTGTCTTTTCAAATCCCCTCTTTTTTTACCCCTAGGTAAGGCCTGATGTTAAGGTTATTTACGCCACAGGGACATTCCAGAAAAACTAGGCGCCTACATTAACATATGTAGTTGTTAATGAATGTTGTTTCTCTTTCAGACGCCTGGAGAGCAACATGAACATATACAAAGGTGTCGTACAGAGGGCACAACTTCAACTGGCAAGATTTCAGGTAACGATTATTGTCTACGGTTGAATTTTTGAGGATGTTTGATGGGAAAATCCATGGTTCGTGAACGCATTGTGTTTATTTTTAAAACTGCATCGATCTATTTATAATAATTATTCTAACTTTTACTTTGAATAAAGGTGGGTAATTGTGTATGAAAATGCATTTTCGAGATTCTATTTCGGCTGTTAGGTACAGAGCGTACTCCTCTTTTTCCCGCATACTAAAAGAACTTTTATCAAGTTTGTCAGTGAAATGAGTGATCCCAGGAACTGAGTGCTAATACTCTATAGCTGCTGACTCTAATGGTACCAGTTACCTATGACCTAACCAGGCTCTTTCGTCCACATAGTAAGCAAATTTAAGAGATCTGCTAATATTAGACGTAAGTGATAACGTTTCTGCAAAAGCATAATAGCCCCTTGTAAAGTATATTTGTCTGTATGTTATATACCATTAGTGGCTGTATGAAGATGAATTGTTACAGTGTCCCATGCGTGGAAACAACATGATCACACCAGCTAGAGCAACAGTTATGGCTGACCTAAAGAAGCGTGTTCAAGGATTGCTTCACATGGACTCGCTCATCAAGGCAGTGGAAGAGAAATTTAATGCACAGGAATCCAGTATAGAACAGCGCCTCAAGTGGGCAGCCGGTGCGAACCCTGCCCTGAATCCAGTGCTTCAGAACTTCGAGCAGACACTAGCTGCGAGGAAGAAGCTAATGACTGTAAGTTCATAGTGATGTAGCATTCCAGTCAATAATTGACCCGCCTTAAACTGTGAGCCAACTCTGTGTTTTTACCAGTGTATGCATACCACATTTTTTTTTGTTCGGCTCGTCATTTTGCAGACCTACCTTGAAGAGGATCTGGCTTTTTTGTTTGAAGTGTTATGCATATGCCATGTATCTAGAAAACACATTTAAGCGTGATTCCATATTAAGAATATTTATTATTGCGCCTCGTTAGTTTCTAATTAACCCTTTCAGTGCCAAGTGTGGCCAAGGGCAAAATGCAACAAAAATTCCCAAATTTCGTTTTGTAAAATTTTGGAAACAAATAGCACCATTTGAAAGTACAGTCAGTGTGATTTCATTTGAATGGTCACATCATAGGATTTCGTCCACAGACTCAAAAGTTTCAACTACATTAAAAGACTCCAACATTCACTCTGGCAGTGAAAGGTTTAACGTGCGCGTTTCTCGTTTCCAGGTTGAAGGGAAACATTCTTCAGACATATGTAGCTTGTCAAATGCAATTCTACACTGTGAGGCGTTACGTACACAAACAGCAGATGCTCTTGCGATAGATAATGCTATGACTGGCTTGGTCAAAAGGTAATTATTCTTGAGTAATTTGTGCCGTTTCCTTTTTGACGGAGATTGACCTCTAATTAAATCTAATTGTGCGTAACCTAAGATCTCCCAAGAATACGGAGGAAGAAAATTTTCGTTTATTTGCTTTATTTGCTTGTCTATTAAATTTTGGAAAATTATTAGTTTTTACTTGAAAGTTCTGAAAATATAGTAACGTTCGTAAGGCTAGTGCTCACGACGTCCGCTTTTCAATCTCTATAGGTGGCTTTCACGTTACGTCATCGCCGCCATGCTGGTGGACGGTAAACAAAAGATCGCTCATTAGCTCGCTTTGTTTGTCCACCAGCATTTGTTTATTTCACCATTGTTATTAGTGTCTCCCGAGACTGCATGAAAACCACCTATACGGCTGCGTTTTCACCTTCTTTCCGAGTGTGACGTCTTACTGAGGACTTCAGCACCCTTCGACTAGTATGTCTCTTTTTGACCTTGGAACGTTGTTGTTGTTTTGCTCATAAGACGTTTCGTTTTCTGTCGATGTCGTTTTGTAAGCTCTCTAGTCTCATTGCAAATGGGTGTGACTCCAAAGACCGTTTTATATAAATGATCACACTGTATGATGTTTGTCCGGTCTCGGTATTAGGTGTCTGCATATAAATTGAGGACTCTTTGATTGAAAATGGTTGGTCAAAAACTATGACGTGGTCTAAGGTGGACCTTTAGTCTGCTACACAGCCGTTTTTAGTGTCGTCACGCAACGCTAGGGGGAGGAGCGTTGCGTGACGACACTAAAAACGGCTGTGTAGCAGACTAAAGGTCCACAATGTTCGTGGTGAAAGTTTTCTGTAAGATCGAGACTTACTCATCTCCTTACTATTATCCGTTAGGCCTGATTGTATAGTTATTTTAGAGTCATGCCACCAAAAAAAGGGAAACAAGAAACGAATATATGTTACTCACCAAAATCTGTTGTCCACGCTCTTTTGCCTTGGATTCGACAAAGGTTAAACGAACTTTATTTTTATTAATTTTATTTATTGCTTTCTCCTTAGATGTCAGCAAAGTTCTGCCGAGCTAGAGAACTGTTCGAAAAAGCTTCATGACATTGCAGAGGTTGCAAAGAAAGTGAAGGTGTCATATCCGCCGGAAGCACCCATTACTTTGGAGTGGATGAAAAACAAGTTAGAGACCGTTGGTCAGGATGTGGCCTCCATCAAGACTAGGAAGTCACAGGCTACCCAAGCCATCATGAGTAATAGAGTAAGTTGATCAAAGATAGGCAGTAAGTGAATGAAAGTAGAGAAAAATTATAGATAAAACGATGTTTACTGAAGTAAAATCTCAAACGTTTGGGAACACTCGCTGAACATTATTAAGAAGAAAGTGGCACTTCCAGTGGCTGCCTATTTACCAGTTGGAGGATATGGAGGATATGCAAGTTGCGGTTAGTAGATTGGGTCTCCCGGAACAAGATAAAAGACTTTCGTGCAGATGCTCAGGAAAACGTCAACTGTATGGAGCCCTAGTAGCTACAGTCCACTTAACGAAGTGATTGTTTGAACAGAGATACGGTTGACTCTCTCTTAACAGACACCTCTGTAAAACGGACACCTAGAGTTGGTTCCTGCCTTTCTTTATTCCCTTTATTCGACTCTTTATAAGACGGACACCTCTCTAAGACGGACACTTGGTACCGGCCCCAGAGGTGTCCGACTTAGCGAGAGTTTACTGTACAGTGGAACCACGTTATAAAGGAATTATCTATATATAACGAAGTCCTCGCCATAACGAACGATATTCCTCACCAAAGCAATAGTAAAACATGAAAAAAAAATCTTGAAATGGCGATCACATTTTACCAATTGGCCTTTCGTTATGTCGTGGTTCCACTGCAATCATTTCATCTTCCCTATCATCCGCCAGGAATCCATCAAGTCACAGGCCAGTACAGTGAAAACAGTTATGGTGTCCCATCAGCAGCTCATTGGTGAAGTGAAATCCATGCTCACCACAATGGCAAAGGTAAGGTTTTCATTTCTCGGGTAACGTTCATATTTTGTTGTAATAATTTAACTGATGGAGCCCATTCCTTGTAAGCCCGGTTGTTTCCCTTGGGCTTCCCCGCCATGAGCTTTTTAAATACCGTATTCTAGAAAATTGACATTGCACTTTATTAACGCGATTTTAAAAAATTCGCTAGATCCATTTACAGAGGAATAACCTGAACATTAACATAGCTAACAATGACTGCAAATGCTTCTTTTTCTCGTTGACATATATGTATGTTGAGATTTTGTATGTGCAGCAAATTTGTGTTGAATAAAGTAAAAAAAGAAAAAATTCGCGTTAATTTAATGCAAGTAAACCTAACTTTTAAAAAGTTCGCGTTAATTTAGTGTAACGTAAATTTTTTTCGCGTTGTCAACGTGCATTGTTAATTTCCTAGAATAAGGTATTTAGATTTTCTTCTTTCTGTACATCTTATGGCAAAACAATAAACTGAACTGAACTGAACTGAACTGAACGTGTAACAAGAAGCATGATATGATTCGAGTTCCGCAATTGAGTGGCTTTTTTTAATGATTGTTTATATTGGTTCAGGATGAAGAGGCTGCAGAGTCCCGCCCAGCTAAGCTGTTTATATCAACACACAACCGCCAATCAGAGGAGTGTTCTCAGCTTATTAAGAGCATCTTAGCAGGTGTGTGCACATTTCACTTCAACAGTTCCTAGTTACTCAGATCACGACTGGGTAGACACTCAAAAGCTTGCTTTGGTTTGCTGTGATGTATCAAGTTCCCTAAGAGATGCTTCTTTCAATATTCACGAACTGAATAAATCTCCATGTTGTGTGGTGTTTCTCTATTTTATAGTGTGTTCTGGAAAGGTCAGTGATGGAAGGGACAACTTAGAAGACAACATAATAGAAGTAAAAGTCGTGGTGAAGTCCATCAAATCTCTGGTGCAGTGGTAAGTTATGCCCCATGCCTGTACAAAGCAAACCAGTTTTCCGCCATTTGCCTGCTATGTATCGAGCCGTTAGTTCAATCATTAATATACCGCATTAGCTATTTCTACTTATCATTTGTGTTGCTTGTGCCACTGGGAGGCTAATGTTTAATCTGGTACCGAGATCTCTTTTCGACGAAGCCAAACAAGAGATCTGGGTACGAGATTAGGTAATAACGAGGGTGGGGTGGGTGGGTGCTCGAGAGAAACAGGAGCAGGAATCCACTATGATTATCAGACGTTCAAAACAAGTGGAAATCAGCTGATTGCAAGTAGCTTGATTTGTACGTAGCTAAATTCCTCTAAGTTGAACTTAAAATTGAATCACATGTGGTTTCAAGTCGCCTAACGCCCGGTTTAAACGTCGCATTTCTCATGTACCGTCTCTAATGCAAATGAGCGAGAAGAAGACAATTTCCTCGCTAGCATTAAATTTGGCACATGTGAAATGCGACGGTTAAACCGGACCTTAAGCACAATAGCCTTTCACGCAAAGGTTTTTAGGGCTTCGTCGCACACACATGTTCCTTCCCTCCTTCCTTCGTGATGAAGGAAGTGCAGAAACCCTAGAACGTCTGCGTCGGAGGCTATAGGTACATTCACAAAATCAGTGAATGTGAAGTGATGAAACTGGTGAGACCTTTCCTCTGTGTAGTTTGTTTATTGGTTCTTAGTTCTATACATCAGTATTTGTTTATTATTTGTAGGGTTCATGACCACCTTCTGTCGCTGGCTTCACCTCTTGTTCCTGATGAGTCTGGTTCCAGTGGAGGAAAAACACCCATTGCGGCTCCACCACCCACATTTGCATCAGGTAACTAATAACTTGAACTGAATTATTTTCCCTTTGTCAGCAATAGTCTCTCCACAACTGTGAAATATATACTTTGTACAACAAAAATGCCATGATATTCTTTTCTTTAGGAAGAAACCCTCCTAATCCTCTCTCTCTCTCCCCAGCTGTATAAAAGAACCCTGCTTGTGGGCAGTAGCCTCATACCTCTTTTAAACCTAAAATGTTATAATTTGAACCCATTTGCGTTGCAGCTCTGTTGCTTTATTGCTAGGTTTCATTTTAAAGTCCCAATAGTGACCAACTGACAATATCAATACATTGTTAAGAAATAAGGTTATGAGAATTAGTGAAATGATCATCAAAAAGGAAATGCCGTGATCTTTTATTGAATTCTGTCAACTGATTCTTAAAGAAAGTCTATAGAGTTCAGTTTGGAGAATTTGTATGTGGATATTAGGGCTTAGTGGGTTAACTTTGTTCGTTCATTGTCATCCCAACCAATCCTGTGAGGCCTTGTTACTGCTGCGAGGAACCTCCCTTGGCGAGGGATGCGGTACTAAATGCTAATGTTTGGCGATTTGTTGTATTTTAAATCAAAGTACTGTAGTTCCCTTGATGAGCCTTCAGTAATTGGTGTGGCGTTGTTTAAAGTGAGTCTGTTGCATTTCTCTTATTCTTCAGCTCTTCGCCAAGGTGGCAGTGTTGCTGTGCAAGGTAGTAAAGATCCTGTGGCATCAGACAGTGCTGTCTCTTCTCATCCAGTTATCCTACAGAGGGACATGACAGCCAGTCCATCCGGCGGCGCTGGTTCACCAACTGCTTCTTCCAGACAGATGGCAGTGGCAAGCCCTAAACGATTGTCAACCACAAATCTGGCAAGAGACCCCAGAACGGGAAAAGGTACGTGTCTACCTGTAGTATAAGCCAGAGTAGTATTTAAGCATTGCGTTGCGCAATGCGATTCCCACTATGTGTGTGTATGTTTGGTTAAGAATTGTGATGTTTTGAATGATGATGTTCATTTTTTTTTCTCTCGAACTCGTGAATAATTTATAAAGTGAAAATAAAGAACATCAACGCCGTGAAGGAGATTCATTTAAGCTTTGCTCTGCTTCATTTTTACCATCCACTTCTCGGGGTCTTGATATTGGGAGAAACTTTGTGCGTTATGTGTAAAGAGGAAAGTCCTGTTTGCTTTGTGGTTCAGGTACGTCTTGTTAGTATCTCAAGACCGTCTTCCCAAAAATAAAGCTAAAAGACATAGATACTGGTATAAAGCATGATGATAGTGTTTCATAGTCGCTAAAAGGCAACAGTAACTTGTTACATCCGTACCATGCATTTTAGTCAACGCTGCGATGGTCGTTAATTGTGATTTTTTTAACAGCTCTTCAAGAGAGGAATACCTATGCCATCAGTGTATGGCGACGCGTCAAGTCTAAGCTGGATGGCAGAGATCAAGATAATAACAAAAAAATGTCCATTGCAGACCAGGTTAGTGAACTGTTCACCTGTCACTTGAACTGTGAACAAACTCTTGATCGAGAAATTTTAAGGGTGTGAAAACATGATTTCTCTTCTGTGGCTAAGTTGGAATGGTGGTGGGGTATGGTCGACTTAGCGAATTGGTCAAGGTTACGCTTTGTTCTTGCTTCACTACGCTCTTGAATATTGCTTGCCCATTCACTCATAACAGTGGTCAATATAAAGATTTTAGAAAATTCAGAATTTTTGTTTTTTGAAGAACCGAAATATAGTAGTGCTTGAGAGGATTCGTTTAAAGGGTAACACTATACAGTATTGTATCTAAAGACGCAAACGTTACAACAACATTTTGTCCCTCTGTAACTGACCTGTATGAGAAAGAAGGGGTTAAAATCGCTTATGATCTAAATGAAAAGGACTAAAAATACTTTATTCCGTGATTGTTTAGGTTGACTTTGTAATCCGTGAGTCACGAAGCTTGGACAATCTGAGCCAGATGTATGAAGGCTGGACAGCATGGGTGTGAAACCGCAGTGCCAAAGGAAAGTAGTGAACAAGTTCCACTCTACCGAGACATAACTGAGATGGCCAACCACAGTCATCGTTGTAGCATCAAAGCGAACCGTAAGTCGGGAAGCGTTACCAAGGCTGCATACTGGAGTGCGGCTAACAACAGCATTTATTTAACAATGCAGACCGCAGGCCCGAGGTCTATTTTTCGATGCTCTTTCAACCAAGATAGATTTTGAAACGAGGTTCCGGCTTCAGTGGTTTTGGCAAACGACTTGGTTGAATTTATTTGAAACATCCGTCATTAGTGCCTGTCTTATAAGGTAACTTACTCAGTGGCTTGTAACTCATATCTAAATGCTTGCTCCCTCCTTTCCAAATACTAAGCAAACATTTAGTACAAGGCAATAAGTTACTTAAACACCTTATAAACGTACGTTGGTCATGGCCAGCTTCACTTTTCCATATGTTCATCCTTTTATCTTGTAGAAAGCAGAAAATTTCAATACGATTAACTCTACTTTTTGCTGCAGCCAGTGACCCTAGAAATACCTTGTAGCATTTGCTTATCTTAAGAGGGAACTGGCAAGGTCATCAAAGGATTGAAAAATGAAAACCATTTTTGATGATGCGTTAGCGGTACATGGCTTATTAGTTTCATAGTGAAGCACATACGCTCCACCTGTTGACTGATGACAGGGGATTGAATAGAGTATTATGTGAAACACATAATGTTTAGTGCTTTAATAGTAAGCATACTATCTACTCATCTTTAGATCTAAAGTAACTTAAATGCAGCACACAAGTTCACCAGTAGAATACTTGTCACCTTAAAAAGTGCTGCCCAAAAACATCCGCGTTAAAACAACTGGTGAAGTTTTCTTTTATGATTTCTCTTAGAGAGAGATTGTATTGTCTTGATTCAATTCTTTCTTTGCCGAACTCGAAGTGCGTTGCGCTGCGTTTCTAAATTTGAATTGATAGATCAAATGAACAAGAGTGAAAAACGCTCCTCTGTAAGTATTTCATATGTGCGGTATTTAGGGCTCGCACTACCCATAGAATACCAGAAAAACTCCTGGATTATTGTTAGTCCTAATGAAGAATCTCCTTTTATTTACAGTTACTAACCTTCTTAACTGGTGAATCACTTAGCAAGTTAACCAGTTAGAGCATAATGAAATTTCATTGTTTCAAACTGGTAGTAAAAGCTGTTGAATTGTTCTGTTAAGTAATTAATTTACGTATAACAAGCGTCTTACTCTTAGCGAAATATTCAAACTTCCAAATCCTGGAATCTTTGTACGCTGGGAAACTATTTCACCCCTCTCAGTAGACCATGTGTTCTGTTTGTTTTGCCTTCTTTTTTTTTCAAATCAAATGGCGCATTTTTGTTTGCAATTTTACGGCTTTTGGTGGCAAAGAAAGAGCTGACTCCAAGAAGTTTTTTTTGTACGGTTCGTACTGCCTCTGTGTTGATAGTGTTTTAAATATAAATTATTGAACAAGTCACTTGCTTGAGATGTAGCCTCTTTATCATTCAAACGCAGAGTAACTGTTGGCCAGCGTTATTTTTGTACGGTGGGAGGGGTCAGGTAGAATGGGGGTGCCCTCTCTATAAAGGGGGTAACGAAAACTATTTGAGGAAGATGAAGTCATTGAAACAACGATGTCATCGACATGTCCCAAGAATTCTTGTCCATTATTGTAGCTTTGATGTGAACGTGGCTTGAGACCCTGTAGAGATCATTTTAGTGCCTTTTGCCTACAATCAATTAGTTTGTTGCTTTGTTTTATCGTTTGGCAGTACGAACCGTCATTTATTGTTGTCATTTCTACTCATATACTCCTATGTGTGTTATAGTTATTGGTGAAGGGTTCAGTATTTCACAGTATTTACACATTTGGTAATCTTTTTTCGAGTTTTCAATGGTTTTCATGTTATTAGTTACAATTGAATCATTTATTATCGCTCTTTGATCGCTAATCTCTGGTGAAATCACCCTACTGATCTTGCTTGGTTTGAGCAACCAAGTTAAAAGCTAAGAGAGGTTTTAAGCTGCAGTTCTCCTAAATTTAAAAACAAGAGTGGAGAGGAGTATTGTTTGACAGGAATTTCGGTGAGATTCGCAACATGTAGGCTCAAATTTTGAAGACTAATCTGTTAGAACTGCTGTTATTTACTTTGCACGCTAAAATGGCTTGATAAATTAAACCGAAGTTACGATCAATAAGACTTCTTTGCGCATGGGGATGTACTTTTTATCCCCCACGACCCACAGCTGATTGTGCTGAAATAAGTTACTTGAATATCAGTCTCTTTCTCCTCCCTTGTTTTTTAATATTTTCTCATTAGCAACACAGAATATTTCATTAGTCAGACCAGAGGTTAGCAGCAAAGAACATAAGGCTGATTTTTACATGTAATGGTTTTGTCAATGTAACCCGCTAATATTGTACTTGTGATTTATATGCATACTAATAAAAAAAAAATGAAAAAATATAGTTTGCCTTCCTCTCTTCAAAGACTATGTTCTCACGAGTCCAACCTCAGCCAAGCCTTTCCAAGGTTGACAGGCGAGCACGGACTTCAGTTAAAAACGGAGTACTGGAGACGAAAAGGAAGTGTAAACAGGGGTGATTCGGAGCAGCACTTTTTCTCCCCCCGCCCCGGCATCTCTCCTTTCGCGCCCACTTTTCTTATTACTCACAAAAATAACCCTCAACCCTTAAAACCCTAAGAGAAAAATTCCAATTCACATTTGTTGCTCCTTTTCATTTCCCACAGAAATAAAATGTCAAGCAAATTCATCATGTGTGATCAGGTCTGTAATTCTCATGACCACTTTGTTTTTCAAAGCATTGATATTACAAGGAGAAATTTGATGGTGATCAGTCTTATTGCTCAAAGGGTTAAAATAACCGATCGAAATAAGGGTGAAGATAACCGATCACGTGCGTCATATTGGTGTCTTAAAACAATAAAACAGCGGCCATGTTGGTGTCCCAAACCATTCCAGTGGGAATTGAATTCTTTCCTTGAGCGCTTACCGTTTGTACGGAAATTTCGGTGAAAAATTTCCGTCAAATGGTATTGATATTTTTTTTTGGCACCGAAAACAAGAACGGGATTGAGTTGTACCATTTTCAAAAATACCGGTAAATTTTTCACTTTCTTTTGACATGAAGCCTGGCACTAGTAATCCAAACAAATGGTACAGAAAATTTTGGTCGCTTCAGTAAAAACGGTAATACCTCGAAAGGTATTACTTTTTTTCCGGAAAATTTCTACCGGTATGAACCGTTCCATTTGAATTCTCCCCGGAATTTCCGGGTTTACCATACAAATGGTAAGCACTCCTTATGTAAACCTTACCGCCACCATGGTGGATGCGTTACTCTAAGGCACGCCCTGCTACAAGGGTAATTATTGAGCGCTTGCAATTTATGTGGAAAACCCGGAAAGATCAGTGATCCGAGATCACTCAGATCATGGTAGGTCAAATGAACCAATGAATCCTTGTCCAGGTAGGTTCGCCGGTTTGACTGATTAGCACCACCGATCGATGATCTAGATCTCAGTCTACCACCAATCAGCATCATCTCAAAGTTCATGCCATTAGAACTGGTGACACACGACTTTTATGAACGTGGCTTCATACGTCAGAAGTATGTTTTGTCATAAAATTATAGAATTGTTAATTTCCTCTGTATTCAAAAGTGATGGCGTCCATAGATATTCTGGACTCTAGCTAAAACCTTGGTGTGACATAATGTTTTGCGATAAAGAAAAGAACAGCTCAGAACAAGAGTGGTAGAGTAATTTAATTTGAAACCCTTTTAGTAAATTCCTCTCTTTGTAGTGTGATCTTTGCTAATAAATTTATTTTTTGTATCCATTGCAGTGCTCACCAGTATAAAGGGTGAAATCAATGAATGTATTCATAATTTAGAAGAAACTCCCAAATTCTACAAGTCACACATAAATTTCAACAACAAACCTTACAGGGTCACAAGCAAACAGAACAAACTGGGGTTGTAACCAATATTATAATTTTCTGCAAACTACATTTCTTAGAGAATAAATTAACATACAAATGGGGTACATTCCAGCACCCTACATGACCAAAAATTATTGAAATTGTCTTTAGAGCTCCATTGAGCATAGCAAAAATATTATTACCCAAGAGGAAAAGTCTCTTATATTACCTTATAAGTCTTAAAATTTGCATTTCACTTGCACATTTATAATTTTCAATTCGGCATACTTAAGTTTATAGTGATTTCTGTCATAAGAGAAATTCTAAAAGTTTTGAAGGAACAACTGTTCATGATCTCTGAGAACCTCTAGATCTATTACAATCATCCCAGAAGGAACTGTCCTCTGTCATTTTGCCGAGCTTCGTTTAGAATCCTGTTTCCTGAAGTAAGCCTGTAGTCATCACCCATCTGTCTGGTAAGGGGTTCACCTGCAAGAAAGCGGATATCATTCCTCTATGATTCAAAAGTAAGACAACAAAAAATAGGATTGTGATTATTGATTATGGCATGGAAGACAATGATTCATGGGAACACAGATACTTTGCGCGCTCTGATTGTATAACAAAAAACATGGTTGTTTTACCAATAAATTCATAGAAACTTTCAAAAATCCTTGCTCTTACTTAAAGCTATTGAATTCATACAAGTAATCTACTGAGCTTTTCATTTACTTTCTTTTTTTTAATACTGGCGTGTTAGAGGGTCATCGGGACCTAAATTTTCTCTCAATCTCGAAATCCCAATGATTATTTTCGGCATCCCAAGCATACAGGGCATACACGCACACAGTAATTTTCAAGCAATTATAATAATTCCTCTAGTCGGGTTAATTTAACTCCTTACAGTGGAGTTATTTGTTTGGCAGTTATTTTAACTCCAAAAAGGAGTTTAAAGAAGTCTTTTGCAGAAGTAAAAATAACCCCAGATTTGGAGTTAAAAATAACCCCAAAAAAGGAGTGATCCTGTACCTAAAATTTTTTCTCCATTTTTGGAGTTATAATAACTCCCTAAAAATTACTGTGCAATAAATTCAATCCTGAATCTCGCCCCCATTTGTCTTTGAAACCCTGGTTCATGAAAAACCTATTCCGTTTCACGACCCTCGTATTATAACCCATGCCAATACAAGATGTTGAGAGGAACACTCAAAAGGCCTTTGGCTCATGCCGACGTAATAGGTTTCTGTTTTTTCCTTTCTTCTCCAAACATTTTGCTTGAGTTATATTACCGTATTTATTCGATTAACTGCCCTGGGCGCTTATTAAATTTTTGGACCTTGAGAGTGGGCGCTTATTCGAGGTGGGCGCTTGTTCGAGGCTGGGCGCTTATTAAATTTTCACCATTTTCAGCAAGTGAAGTATGTTTATTTTGCAACAAAACAATAAATGCCACTAACAAAACGCGAATAAGTAACAAAGCAAGGTTTCTATAAAATACTCTGAAGAAAACTCCGTCCTCGGGGAAGTCTCTGATTAGAATTTATTCACTCAAGTGGGTGGGGTGGGGGTGAACGCTTATTTGAGTTTGATTGGGAGGAGGAGGGGGTGAGCGCTTATTCGAGGTTGGGCGCTTATTAACTTTTTCTGCCTTTAAGATGGGCGCTTATTCGAGGTGGGCGCTAATTCGAGGTTGGGCGCTTATTCGAATAAATACGGTATGCTGGTAGAAAAAACAGGACGTCCGGCACGCGGCTTTAAAATAATGTCACATGAAGATTGCTGCCTTTACCTGTAATGATGTCGTAAGTGTAGTTTATAGGTGGAAGTCTTTTCACACCAGGACCTCGCTGTCTGCCAAGAAGGTCATGAACCTTGTAATATGTGGTGGAAAAGTTCATCTGTTGAGGGAAAAATAACCCCTGGTTGTTCTAATTACTGCCAGAAAATGTTTAATTCAAACATCACCAGCATGAGAAAAGTCAGCTAGGATTTGAACCCATGACTCCCTAAATGTCCTAAATACTGTTAAGGAACTTCAACTACATAAAAAGCTTAACTGAAAAGTGCGTGATTATTTTATGGTCCTTCATCTGCAAGCAGAGTAATCTCACAGTCTTCACCATATGTCTTTTGGATATACTGCAAAACATATTTCTCAACATTTTTTCAGCACAGAAAGTCAGTATAAACTACCAAACTGTTTTTTCGTTTTCTGTACTTCCTAATGATGCCCGAGAAACCACTGTTCCCTTTTTTGAGAATTTCTGAAATCTTCTTAACAGTGTCTTAACTTCTTTTGGGCTTTGAGAAATCTTTTCGGATACGTTTGGCCTATTTGAAGTCCTGGCTTTCAGAAGAATCCGAACAACTAGCAGGTTATGTCTGTATCATTCTCAATTTTTACCATACCTCTTCTAATCTTACTGTCAATAACAGTTTTTATTAATGATAACTGATAACATCACCGATAACTTCATTGCATATTTTTATGTACTGCAAATTCAAAACTATAAACCTCTTGAGAGCCCTGATGCCTTGTTGATTTAATCATATCCTCTCCAGCCATTTGACTGTTCCATCTAATGTTATCCTCATGGACCTCTTCAGCCTGTTAAAGTATCATCGCATATTAAAGTAAGTTTGCTGATTATAATAATTATTTGTCTTTTTCTTCACAGGAAACTATAACACTAAATAAGCCAAACCATTATTCAGCATAATAATTATTTAGGCTGAGCAAATAGAAACTGCCCCCCTAGCAAAAACTAACATGACTTATTCTTTTGTGCTGAGGCTTTTTTTTTCCTCCTCCAATCTACTACCCTGGCCTGGGGGGAAGTACTCCCTTATATGACCTGTATGGGGATGTGCCACTGGACAGATTATGGCTCTTTACCCTAAACAGGGTGTATAATTTTGCACAAGTCTGTCCTAAACAGGGTATACAATTTCGGGCAAGTCTGGGCAAGTCTGGTGTCCACATTCTTTGTCCTAAACAAGGTTATAAAATCGAGGGTTTTGTCCTATTCAGGATCAGGGTTTCAAACCTTCGGCAGCCTAACCTATACCCAAATATTGGTTGAGTACCCCCTCGCCCCTCCCCACCACACCGCGGGTACCCTGTACCAGTGGTTTTTTCTTGTGTGTGCAATGGAGTACAGTGGGAGATGTTTTGAGTTAGTCGCTGGTTGGTGTATCTTTTCAGCCAAAGGCTGAAGCTATGAGTCCCAGGGTACCAATCTACTGACTTCTATTCACCCCACCCTAACATTTTATTATCTTTACTTACCGTCTGACTTGATGTTTCACATATGTTGTTCTTGAGTGAGTGTCAAGCTGTTGTCCAGGTAAAATTCCAATACTGAAGTTTGAAGTGTGTTGAGATGGTACGCTGGTGGTCTCTGACCAGGTGGCAAACTACGTCCAGAAAAATTTGTTTAAAAAGTGTACAGATCAGACAGTGTAAATACAAGATAATATCTGACAGAGACCTCTTAGTGTCCAAAAGAGAATAATACGAGCCTGCAGGGGACTCAGCCTGTAGGAACGCCCCCTTCCTAGTAATAGGATAATGGGGATTTGCCGCTGGATGGGGTTGCATCTTCACGGCTGGACTGACTATGATGGGGTTACATTTTCATTACAGTAACTAGAATGGGATCGCACATTTTTGGGATTTGGGGAATCAAAAAATTCAGGTAGGTAGCGATTTAAAAATGGGAATATTTTTACTTCATTAAGTTTAACCGATGTGTCAATTCATCTCAAGATGACCTAGTTAAAAGGCTTTATAAAGTCAATTCATAAACAGAAAGTTACTAAGTGGGATCATCAAAATTACAGTTTTCCAGTTGTAACTAGGATGGGTTCTATGTTTGGCCACAGAATAGACTATAATGGGGTTGGGGTTCTGAGAGGCTAGCGGCAAGACCCAGCAAAAATTAACCCAAGTATCTGCCTATCTTCCTAACTACAAACAAAAATAGGTACAAAATATAAAAAATAAAAACTACTTTTCATGGAGGCCATGTTCAAATAATCATACTTCGTTGTCAAGCTTGATCATTTCGCACATGGAATATTGATGGCCTGTAATTTAAACAAACAGATTCTTGTTTGGCGATATCGTTTTAACATCTACCAGCGGACAGCTTCTCATCTGACTGATCATTTGTAGTTTAGGTGAACCATTTCACACAAAACAACCAGACTATTTTATTTTACGAATGATCATTTCTTTATCATTTGAACCATTTCGTAATTCATCACTAGACCATTTGTGTTCTGTCTGTGCTATTTGACATGATTGTATTTTTAGTGGTAATGGCCGCCCATACATTTCTTCAGTAGACCTGACTTTCCGACAATAACATTTCATATACCCTGTGAATAGGATCTCTGTTGACAGGCTAAATTTCAAATATTTTGCATTGTTTGAGCTATTTTAATGTTAACATTGAACGTTCGCTCATAAACTCCGGCATTTCATGGTAATAATAATGTGATTGGTAAAAAGTAAACCAATCAGCTCAAATACAACAATGCCAACAACATCTTTTTTGCACGTTTTGTGTCATCGCAAATTTGTGACGATTGGAGTCAACCAGTATGTTTTTGCACCAATGACGTCATGTAACATGCGTTATGACGTCATCTATCATCCCTTCCCTATCAATTCTCAATATTTGAAGACGTGGTGGGTATTGACAGCCTTGAGTTAACCTTGGATGCCACATCTGCAGTCACTGTCTTTCCATGCTTATTCCTTTTTCTCAGGCTTAAAGAACGACAAATACACATCAGGCGATTCGACTTAGTCTGGCCGAACTGCCATCAGGCGAATCGATCTTCCAACAATATTCCATGCAGTCACGACACCGGACATTGTGGAGTGTTAATAATTAAGCAATAAAGTCACAATTTTCCTTTTTGAAAGGAAGGATACGGTAAATGCTGGCGGAAATGTAAGACTGTTCAAGAATGACTGATTGATAGAACAGTTTCAAGATCCTATCAAACACTTCTTAACTTAATTCTTGTTTGTCTAATTCCCGCCTCGCACATCTTCAACATCATGCGATCGAAATTCAAACACAAGACAGCTGTTCAACTATATTAATAAAAGGAAATATTTACTCACCGCTTTCATACAGCTGACATATGAAGTCTGAATTGGTTTCACTTCATATGTAAGCGTTGTTGTATGCATTGGTCTTGTTCCCTTTCTGTGTCTCGCCGACGGAAAAGTTCTCGAATGGCGAGAGTAATATGGCTCGTCTCCAATAATAGTGATGTATTTCGATCGATTTGTTAGCACGGCAGTTGTATCCGTTCCTTGGCCGTAACCAGAAACACAATGTGCAATTGTAGACATTTTCTTTGCGTTAAAGCCGAGCTAAACTAGGCCATCTTTGATTTATTTCGTCCTTCAGAATTTAGTCGTGACAACATAGAAAGCATTCGTTGCAATGTCACGCTTGTTTCCATAGAAACAGCTGGACATTCGGCACCCGCCTGCTGTTCTTTGGCTAAGCGTGGTTTCCGGTTTCTGTTTAGGAGCCGACCCGCGCGAAAAGTTTTTTCTCGCCGCTTTGCCGCTGTACCCAGGGTAACGATTGCAGTTCAAACATAAACTGACACTCCCTGAAGGAGTACGTTTGTGCCATAAGCTCACGTTTGAGCGGTATAGTTGCTGTTAAAAATGAAGAAGACGAAAAATCACTCCATTGAAAGTCTGACGATTTGTTTTTGCCTCATTTGCTCTCCCACCCCCGGGGGGGGGGGGGTACTCCCATGCATTACCTTTCGGGTACGCCCAACGGGGTCGTGATTTTGAAGCTCCTGATTTAGAAGGGGGTATCCATTTCAGAGGCGTTTTCTAGAACAGGGTATAAAAATTGTGGATCACGGCTTTATCTTCCGCTTAAAATTGTTGCTGATTATGAAGAAGCATTTATTTGATGTATAAGTCAAACAAATAAAGAAATATCTTTAAAAAAAAACAGGACTATTTCAATTTACAAACTTTCTCAGGGGGCGGAGTATAAAAAAATGGCACATTTCTAGAACAGGGTTTCAGTTATAGGGCGAATTCTAGAACGGGGTATAAAAAATTGGCCCATTTCTAGAACGGGGTATCAATTTGAGGCAGGAGCCCATCATCATTTGATGGGCTCCTGTTTTAGGGGAATTTTTTTTAGAACGGGGTGCCAATTTGGAGTCCCGGGCGGCACATACCCACCCAAAAAATACCCAAGTGCCCCCCCCCCGGGCTCCTACCTCGCCCCCAGCAATTTCGTCACCACGAAGCGACGCGAGTGCCGTTAACTTCCAGGCTCCGAGATAGTCGGGTCCGCTGAATATTGAGAAAGCGCAAACACGAATATTGGTAAATGGGTTATATTCCGAGGGGCTTATAACCGGAGTAAAAAAGTGTTGCTGATCAAAATACTTTTGAATTTGATCGCTTTCTTACTTTCTTAAGCTTCAAAACTCGTAAAAAGTCGAATTCATTTCAATGCAAGCAAGGGGGGTTATATTCGAGGGGGCTTATAACCGGATGAATGATGATGATGATGATGAAACCTTTATTTAAGTGTCATAAAATTCTAGTACATTACAGTACTATTTGGGGACACTAAAACAAAGCTAATTAAAATAAAGTAAAATTATCATAATTAAGACTTAAGAATATAAAATTCCTAAAAAAATATGTACAATTTATATCAAATTAATCATATAAAATTTAAAAACATTTATCATGAAAATTTACATATCATGTTAGGTATTACATAAATAGCAAGAGGCACAGCTACTGTTGTCCAATGCAGAGATATCTCTACAGTTTATCATTCGTTTGAAGTCTTTCAGAGTTGGGTTGGTGCATTTCTCTCAGAGCTGGACAACTTGGACCACAACAATGGGCCCAAGTATCTGATGGAATGCCTTCCATACTTTACAGTATTGTATCTTGGAAGGATAAAGTCTGAGTTTCGGAGGCTGTATGGCTTTAAATCATTTCTTTTATCAATGTTTTCAAAGTGACCTGGCGCCATTTGGTGCTTAACCTTGTACATCAGAAATAGTATGTCCTTCAACCTTCTTTCATTTAATGTACCTAGATTAGCCCTTTTTAAAACAGACTGTTCACAGTCCTCTATTTTTCCGTAAGATCATCGAGATCGAGCGCTTTCTGTTACGGGCTGCCAACTTGCATAAGTGCTAAAACTACTTAGGGGGCGGGGGCGGATAGGAGGAAGCGAGAAAAATAATTTTTCTCGCAAAGCCACCTCCCCACTCCCACCTCCCAAATCTATAATCCCCGACGCCAGCCCCCTCGGTACATTTGAAAATCAAGATACCCGTGACGGTAAGACGTGGTATATCTAAACGATCTCACGAAAAAATAGGGGACTGCGAACAGTCTATTTTTAAAAGGTCTTCATATTTTGTTTACCGGTAGATAGGCTGCGTAGCAGGCGTCGAGGCGGGTAGGGTATTGGGAGAATGGGAAAGAGAGAGATCGTGTTTTTCTCCACCCTGCCCCTTTGCTAACAGTTAAGCATATAAATAGGGGTGGGGGTGGGGGGAGCTCATAGGTGAAGGGCAGGGCTTGCGTTCTAGGAATTTTCAGTAGTTTCCGGGCGATATCATGTTCACTAGACATGTTGGCCGGGATTTTCAAGAAGATCGTACGTACGAAGAAAGCCACCGACGAAGCTTCTCTCAGTTCACCAAGCCAGTCAGATAGAGTTGAATCGAAGCTCAATGTCTTGTTTGTTTGCGACGAGTGGAACTCTAGCAAAGGAGGTTTATCCACGTTTAACAGAGAATTTGCCATTAATCTTGCTAAAACATCGAGGAACGACTTCGCGATTCACTGCTATGTCTGTCAGAGCAGTGAATCAGACAGAGATGATGCAAGAAAAAATGGTGTGAATATAATAACAGCCAAGAGTATACCGGGGACTAGTGACCGTCTGGAATGGCTGAGGCTTCCGCCTTCGGAGCTCGCACATCTTGATGTTGTGATCGGCCATGGACGAAAGTTTGGCACTCCTGCTTATTGCATTGTACAAAATGCCAAGTGCAAATGGGTGCAGTTTGTGCATGTATTTTGCGAAGACCTCGGAAAGTACAAACAAACGGAAACAGATGCAGTAGAAGAGAATGAAAAAAAGCATAAAGAGGAAATCGAACTCTGCAAAGAATCCAACGCCGTTGTCGCTGTTGGTTCAAGACTCCAGCGAAAGTACAGCAGATGTCTCCCAGACACAAAAGTTCACATCATCACTCCTGGAATTTTGCATAAATTTGTCAGTCTTTCAGATCAGAAACTTGCCAATGTTTTGCATGGTCCTGACGAGTTCAGTGTCTTTGTCTTTGGGAGAGGATCTTATGAAGATCTGGCGCTCAAGGGTTATGATATCATTGGCAATGCATTAGGTTCCCTTGGGGAGAAGTTCAAGATGACATTTGTTGGTTCACCTGAAGGCCAACACAGCATTATAATGGACTGGTTTCTGCAAAATACAAACATAACAAGGAGGCAGTTAACAGTCCGTGGTTACTGTAATCAAGATGAGGTGAAAGAAATGTTCTATGCAGCAGACTTGGTTGCTATGCCTTCTCGTACCGAAGGCTTTGGTCTGATCGCCTTAGAAGCTATTTCTGCTGGTGTGCCTGTTCTTCTTACCAGTGAATCTGGAATAGCTGAAGCTCTGAAGAAAGTTGACGGTGGGAAATCTGTGATCATTGACTCAGAAGATCCCAAAGAGTGGTCCCAAAAAATCAGAACTCTGTCCAAGAAGAAGCAGGATGAGAGACTCAACACGTCTATTAATCTCAGAGAAAGCTACAACAAGACATTTCCTTGGGACACCCAGTGTGAGAAATTCAAAGAGATCATTTTGAAGATGATGAGTGACAACTGCTGTGCTGAAAGTGTTGTAGGTAGGGTTTCACTGTTCTTTGCCTATCTGGCCTTTAATGCACCAGACATAACTAATCGATGATCATTGACATCAATTGGTAATCAATGAGTAATCGATGAGTAATCAAAGCCCAAAAATTTTGTGGCCTATCGATTACTCATCGATGACATTGAGTACTCGTTGATGTAATTGATTACTCATCGATGACACCCATCAGTTACTCATCGACTATTATACTGGGCACAAAAGACACTTTTCTTGCTTTCTTGTACCATTTTTTTCTCGTTTGAGATTCTTTTATCTGTGTTAGACGCATTTTTCCTTGTATCTGAAGATCCTGTTGACGATGTCGAGACGCAATTAGTGCTAATCACAAATACAGATGATTCTCAATAATGTGCAATATTTCACGTTACCCAACTCTTTATTTAATAACAAAACAACTGAACAGTAACCAACCAGTCTGAAAATGAAACTAACAAGTAGGCTGACAAGAATCGACTACGTGGTTATCGATTTTTTTTTGTGGGTGTTTGTCAGCAATGTAAAACTGCTTCAGCTTAGGGAAACATAGGTATGGTTCAACAACAAACGGCAGAGATACTGGAGAACCTTCTGAACCTTAATTTCCATGTACTACTTAAGCTGAAAAGAATAAACCTGGAAACATCTGTTTCTATTTAAGTTTTTTTAATTTTGTTTTTCTTCGCCAAATACGTTTGCAGCCACGAGATGATATCGATGAGTAGTGGATGAAATCAATGACTAAACAATGCAATCAATGACTAATCAATGCAATCGATGACTAATCGATGACCAAAAATTTTGTGGCCTATCGATTAGTCATCGATTACTCATTGATCATCGGCAATAATCAATGACTAATCAACTGATTACCTATCGATTACCTATTGATTACTAATTATTGATTTCATTGATGTCATTGATGTCATCGATTACTTATGTTTGGAATGTACCAGTCAATTAAAGAATTTTAACCCCCCTGGCCTGGTGAGTGGTACTCAAGAAAAGTTTGGGTAGAGCTGTGCTGCTGAGGCCTTCAAACCCTGACCCTGGGTGAGGTGGCTGAACACAGTTTTGGCAGTTTGTGAGTACATGTCATTTGCCAAATCATGGCAAGAGAAAGGTTGCAGCTCACAAGCTAAAACTTGGTAAGTGAAAAATATACTGATGAAAGATTCTGATTGAAGGTAAAATGTGATGTTTTTGTAGTTTCCATGGCAACATGACCCATTAAATACAACCTGAAAAGTTTACTTTTGCTCAGTTTACATAAGATTCGCTCATTAGATTTTCCTATAAACTTGCACACAGCTTACTATAATAATTAATCATTACCATTTGAAACTTATTTGACCAAATTTAACAGACGGGTTTTTAGATAATCAGTAATTAATAGTTGTACTTTATTTTATTATTAAATGTGTCACAAAATTCGTCTGTAAAACTTCCATTTTAAAGTTCTCATTATTTAAAATATGATAAAAGTAAAAATTCTGCCAAATATCACAAAATTTTAATGTGTGGATTTTGAGAAATCGTCTTCTGTGTACCATTGCTTTTTACACCACCATGTTTGCTTGCCTAATTTAAAACATGCGCCATCACGCAAGTTACCGCTGGTCGCCCGCAAAACTGTGTTCAGCCACCTTAAGACAAAATCTTTCATTTTGCTATCCTGTTGAGGACAAGAGACCAGAGTTTACATTGATTCTTTTCCTTTCGCATACAGAATTACCACAGTTGAACTTCCATCAAGCAGCCACCTAACCTGTTCACAGACCCTCTATTTTCTCTTCAAATTCCGTCAAGCGTGGGTGATAAAATATAACCTGCAGGGGAATTATTGACTGCCAGCGCAAGGGGGTAGTGGTGGGGGAAGAAGAAATGTTTTTTTCTCACACTCCACGCTTGTTCTCATGCACTCGCTTCGCTCGCCGATGTTTTCAAAAAGAACGAAAAGGAAAATAAAATAACATCTGTGCACAGGCTAGCAGCCACCTATTATTAGTGGCTGGCACCCTCTATTAAGCGGCCAGTGGTCAAAGTACTAAAATAATTGTACAAAAGAATTTTATATGAAATCTCTATTAAGCAGTCACCTTCTTTCCATCCAGATGAGAGTTTCCCTATCGTTGTCACCACCATTAAGCAGCCAGCAAGTGCTTAATAATTTTATTAGTTTGGCTAACTGTTTTAAAACTATGATGAAGGAAAACACAGTCTGAATTGATATTGGACCACTGATGCCACTCCCATTTTTTTTTGTGTGTTGTTTTTAAACTATTAAATAAAGGGGGATTTTACTTCTGCCGTGAAACATTATCTGACAATAAGGGTCAGATAGTTATGAGTAAAGAGAAAAAAATTGAATTAGAAAGCAATGCTGCTATAATGGTACTACAAATACTAATATTTCATGAGTCAAGTAAAATCAGTCCATATGGGAAAGCAATAAATAAATGAATATTATATAGCACTCTCAGTGCAGTTGTAGGCTTTTGAACTAAAGAGTACAGCCTCGTATTTAAACTTCATCTGATAGTCTGCATTTCATTGCAAGCCTTTTGTTCTTTTTAAGCACACAGAGAGACACCTTTGGCATGTGTCTTTTTTGGTTGAGGGAGAGAAGATTTCCCCCAACTAATCTTGAGACCATCTGTGAAAACCAATTGAATGAATGAACTTCATTATCTTTAAAATAAATTAGTATTTAATGTATTTCTCTCTGGCATTCATATTTATTTCTTAAAATTGTCCTAGGGCAAAGTGTCTCGGCCACATTTCATAACAAGACTGTTCCATCTGATTCAGAAGACAGTGCTTCTGAAGCTGAATGTAAAGTTAAGGATGGTAAGATGCTTCATGCTGCTGCAAAAAATGGAAACATTGAGATCATTGAGTTATTGGTGTCTGAAGGATGTGATATTGATTCAAGGGACAGGGAAGGTCTCACTCCCCTGATGCATACAGCTCTTAATGGTCAACAAGGTGCTTTTCAGATGTTGATAAAAAACGGTGCTGATCCATCTTTTAAAGACATCGATGGGTTCAGTCTGCTCCACTCTGCTGCACAAGGTGGAAATACATCCATTATCAAGAAGCTGTTATCACTTGGTCTTGACGTTGATTCAACAGACAATGATGGACGCTCTCCACTGATGTCTGCGGCTTTTTATGGCAAGCAACATGCTTTTCAGATGTTGATACAAAACAGTGCCAATCCTTCTTTGAAAACCAACAATGGTTCCAGTTTGCTCCACAAAGCTGCACAGGGTGGAAATCCATCCATTATCAACGAGCTGTTACCACTTGGTCTTGACATTGATTCAAGGAACAATGTTGGTGTGACTCCACTGATGTCTGCAGCTTTTGCTGGTAAACAAAGTGCTTTTCATATGTTGTTACAAAACGGTGCTGATCCATCTTTGAAAACCAACAATGGTTCCAGTTTGCTCCACAAAGCTGCACAAGGTGGAAGTACATCTATTATCAAGAAGCTGTTATCACTTAGTCTTGACATTGATTCAAGGAAAAATGATGGCATCACTCCATTGATGAAAGCAGCTTATTGTGACAAACAGAGTGCTTTTGGGATGTTGATAGAAAACGGTGCTGATCCATTTTTGGAAGACAACAAAGGACTCAGCCTGCTCCACTTTGCTGCACAAGGTGGAAATACATCCATTATCAACGCGCTGTTATCACTTGGTCTTGACGTTGATTTAGAAGACGTCTATGGTAAAACGCCGCTGATTAGAGCAAAAGAGAAAAGTAATTCTGACACAGTGAAGTTTTTAATATCTAAGGGAGCGCATTCATAAATTAGCGCAAGGAACTGATCGTTTATTATGTGCCGAGGGTGGGGGTGGGGGGGGGGGTTAGAAAAATATGGTGTATCAAAACTTTACCCTCCAAAATAATTTTATATGAAAATTGTACCCCCCTTGGCAAATATAACAATTTTGATAATGACCCCTCTCCCCCAATCCCGTCTTGAACAAGTTTTTTCTCTTCTATTTTGAAGGTGTACGTAAGGGAAAAAAAGTTACAGCGCCAGGGGCTCCCTAATCCTGGGGGGTCTGAGGGCATGCATGCTCGCCCGCATGCTTTCACCACTTAGCATTACACGATTTTATATTTTGTTTAAACAAACTATAAATATTATCGAGAGCTTTGCTTTTAGCCCTGGCTAAATCTATTTAGTAAAAACCAACTAGTGGTCTATTATCAATGCTGCGTTCTGATTGGTTGAGCTACTACAAGGCTATATGTTATAGCCCACTAGTAGCGAAAGCATAGGCTTTTTGGCGGCAAAAAAACGATTAAAGTCTAGCTTTAACCAGCTAAAGTTGTTTTGTCTTCATGTTTTTGAGCAGCTAGTTGGATTTTACTAAAACAGCCTCATGGGTATTGACTCAGAGCCCATTCGGGCTTGAGGAATAATTGTTAAATATTATTATCTTTATAAGGAATTTGAAATAGCTCTTATATGTTAGTCTTAGTTAGTTTTAGCAAGCAACAGGAACAACTCGGCGAGCAAAAAATAGAATTTTCAACCTTGAAGGTTGTAAGAGATGTGCCCTAAGCCAGTTTGGCAGCTACCTTGCTACCTTGAGAGAAATGCTTATGCACGGGGGTTAGCACGTGGGGGTAGGGGGAATGAGCACAGCTTGAACTGACCCATGAATCAGTGTATTGTAAAGTTAGAAAAGTAGTTAATGGACTTAAAGGCTAATTTTCCTGTGGCCATTGAACGCCGACTTTGGAACACGCTATAGGAAAAGATTTGACAATTCAATTCACTTCTAGAAACTCAACTTTCAAAGCATACATTAACGCATTTTTGTTATTTTTTTTATTGTATGGTTCTTTTTTTCTGTATCTAAATTTTAAATCGCGTATACAAATTTTTTACCATCATACGCTTATTATAACAAAATGCTGTACAGCGTAATAAAGTATTCTTTAATTTTATAATTATTGCTTCAGTTTTGTTTTTCAATGTCCCTTAATTTTTGCAATTTTGTAGTCATCAGACAGGTTCTGCACAGGGGGTTGTGGGGGGTGTGAGTTGTTTGAAACTAAGGTTTCCGCTTTTCGCTCCCATTCACAACAGACAGTGATGCCAACTCTCCCGCTTTTGGCAGGAGACTTACGCTTTTTTGCCTCGTCTCCCGCTCTCCCGCTTTGGTACATAAATCTCCCGCTCTTAATGTCCACTATAAATATTGAATACTTAGTAAAAAATAAAACAGTCTTAGTTTGAGATTTAGCCCATTTTTAGCTCAAAACTTGAATTTCTCTTATTCACAGTATGGTTTCTCGGGCATTTTTGCACGTATGTAGTCATTGACAAAGATTATTTCTAGCATCAAAATGATGATTTCGAATTTTGATAGTATGTACATCATGTAAAACGTCATATAATGTCCTAAGTCATTCCCATTGGGGGCTGGGTCAATTTTTCGGTTGGGGGGTTCGTTGAAATTCCGGGGGGGTAGTGAAAAAACGACAGTCTCCCGATTTTAGGTCTCCAGAGGTTGGCATCTCTGAACAGAGGATATAGAGAAAATGTAATAATTAACTAAACAGATGCAAGAGATCTCATTCGCTTGTATTTGTTTCAATGTATTGTCTTGTCAGAAATGGAAACTGCTTGCCAGTATAAAGTACTTTCTAAACACAACATCAGCTGCTTTTACATAGTTTGGACATAGAGGATACTTATGTTGACACACCTACTTTAATTAATAAATTAAGCAAGTTGACATGAAATGTAAAATAAGTTTGTAGTTTTGTAACGTATTGTAATAACTTCAGTCAGTATCTCCTTGTATCGTTTATATAGATCTATCATCCTCAGTTTCCTTTCTTTTTTTTCCCTTTTCTTAATTCCATCCTGGTGTAGCCTATTTTACAGTTACAAGTGGAAACGAGACTGCAGTTGACCTTGTTTTGATGCAACCCTTCTTCCTTTATTAAGTAAATCATGTTATTCTTAAGCTAACTTGCTTTTTTAATCATAATTTTGATAAGAAAAGGAAAGAGGTTTGTATCAAAATAAGGGCAACCTCAGCCTCACGTTCACTTAGAGGCTAGGGTACTAAACCCACAACTGTAAAATGGTCTATTTAGTTTTCCTCTGCCCACCCCTATTAGCCAAGCTATATATATGCAAGCAGAGGATGTTGGTATGTTCTTATATGCATGTATTAAATTTGTAACTCCTATAGACATGAATGGATCCACTTCTGAAAGAGAATACTTTCTTATGCATAATACCAAATAAAACTTTAACAGAACAAAATATCCATGTGAATAATGCCTAATTGGCCAGTGAACTTCGTTCTAACTAATACCCCATTCACACCAATTAAACCCAGGTTTCAAAAAAGGAAAACCATAAATGGCAAACTAGCCGACGGAAACAGACGACATTTCGCGACCCCACCAACAGTTTCCACGCGAAATGACGTCTGAGAATAGAGTACTAAAGTGTGACGTCATAAAAATCAAATTTCTGAAATTATGGGATTTGTCAGGATATTCTGAAAGAACAATGTCCAAGAGGCCTACTTGCCAAAAATGAGCATTTCGGGGAAAAGTGTATCTGAGATCGTACCCCAGTTACGCATAGAAAACTCCATACAACGTCCCTTCTAAATTTTTTGGGTCAACCCAGAAAAAAATTAGAAGGGTTTGTATGGAGTTTTCTGAGTATAACCGGCTAACATCTCAGAGACAATTTGCACCGAAATGCTCATTTTTGGTAAGTAGGCCTCTTGGACATTGTTCTTTCAGGATATCCTGACAAATCCCATAATTTCAGAAATTTCATTTTTATGACGTCATCACTTTAGTACTCTATTGAGCGCAAAAATTCCATACTGATGACGCGTCACTACCCAGATCTGGGTAGGGCTTCTGATTGGTTGAAGCAAATTTCACAAGCGGCTCGTTTCTCAGACGTCATTTGCCGGGGAAACCGTTGGTGGCGTTTCCAAATGTCTGTTTTCTCAGGCTAATGGAAAACTGGAGTACAGACAATTACACAAGATTTCAAATAAACTTTAACATTCTCTGTAATTTGCACATAATTTGCAATAGCCATAAGTCAGTGACCAGCTTTTGTGAAGGAAACAATTTTAAACCATGTTTAACTAAACAGCTTTTAAACGTGTTTAAGCTTTGGTGTGAATGGGGCATAAGCTTAACTAAGCATCAAGCGACTGATACTCCGACGAATGCCCACGGAGTACGTTTGAATTAGGGGACTGCAACAAAATAATGGTTTTATCAACTAAGTTGAATGAATTTACCACCGTAAAAAACCGTTCGAAACGTTTGCATTTGAAACTGTTTGCGGTGGTAAAAGCCCTTTATCACATCAGTTGATAAAAAAAATATTGCATCCGGGGAGAAGGATCACTGTGGACACAACGGACCGTTAAGGCCAAGCTGTGTCAGACCTTTTTGGTATCTGATGCATGGTAGCCTGCGTAGCAAGCGTTTCCGTTTGGTTTCGCAGTAAAGAAAGACCGAGGAACGGGATTCTCGGTTTTGGCCGCGCGAGGAATGAAACAAGAGCCCCCTCCCCGCTCTTTTACTTGCGCCATTTTTTGCGTGGTCTTTGACTCTCGTTCCTCGTTCTTTGCTCCTAAACTGCACGGAAACTTGCCTGCGTGCAGACGTCTCCTATTTCCTTTTGTTGCAACAAAGGAAATAGGAGACGTCTGCACGCAGGCAACACGGAAACGCTTCCTACGCAGGCTAGATGCATGGCTGTCAACCACCCATGTCTTCAAATATTGAGAATATTGATAGGGAAGGGATGATGGATGATGTCATAGCTCACGCACATGACGTCATTTGTGCAAAAAATACTCTCTGATGATACTACGTAGTACGATAAGCATTGCAGTATTCTGCTTGCAGAATTTAATATTTCTACATTATTATTTTTGCTGATCAGGTCTTTATAGATCCTACGTTCTTCGGCATATTCGTTTGCGGTCCTTTGCAGTCCTTTGTGGTTAATGTTTGTACTCTCTGATGATGACGAATTTGCGATGACAAAAAACGCGCAAAAAGATGTTGACCTGATTGGTTTACTTCCCACCAATCACATTATTATTTTACAATGGCATACCGGAGTTTTTGAGGAAACGTTTGATGTTAACATTAAAATAGCTCAAACAACGCAAAATAGTTGAAATTTTATTGTCAGAAAGTCAAGTCTACTGAAAAAATGGGAAACTTCGGCGATTATCTGGAAGAATTCGTGCTCTAATCTGGATACCGGGAGATATGGTCCAAAATCTGGAGTCTCCCGGATTATCCGGGAGAGTCGACAGCACGCGTGATGGGAGAATTGTCTCCCCTTCTTCGAAGGGAATATACGTGTACGTAGATACCCTGGTTTAGATCGAGCCCGAATATTATGGCCCGATTACCTTTGTTTAGAGTGGAAGACTTAAGTTTTACCCATTTCTCGTCCATCTTAATCTTGGCGGAAACGTCCGACATCCTGGAACACTGAACACAAGGAAAATTCGGGTACAAAATAAAGTAATACGTAACTTCATGGAATTATTAGATTTTTTTTGGGGGGGGGTGGGGGGGGGGGGCGCAATTGTTGGAACCACAAATGTAGATTGCTCTCTTTGGAGAAGATCAAAGACCGGACCCGGGAGACGGCGGAAATCGAGCCTACTGATTTAGCAACAGAGGTCAGCAAAAGAACGGGAACGTCAGTTGACAACGGCGCGCTAAGTAGGGAGCTTTAGCAACGACGACGGCGACGGCAAAGAGGACGTCAAAAAAGCAATAGGTTTATTACGCAAAACAACAACTTTGCACGTGCATCACGCTTTTTTGTACATTTCTTCACCGTCCTTGCGCGAATACGACGTGAAAATGCCTAATTGCAAGTTTTATGGAGGACGTAAACAAGCGACGACGAATCTCTTTTTCTCTCCCTAAACTTGAGTGCGGTCCTCAAGAAATCAACTCCAGCGAAATTCGCCTACATTTGCCACTTTTAGCAAATTGGAATAAACGGGACTAAGATTGAAAAAACGGAAATTCATTTTAAAACTGACGTTTTCGCTGCAGTTGCCGTCGTCACTGCTAAAGCTCCCTAATCAGCCTATTTTTTAACGAACAAGACGCCTAAAGTCGTTTCCGTGGGATGCGTTGGTCTCTGAATTTGGAAAAATTAGGGAAACCGGAAAGATGTGTCATTTTATGAGCATCGATGAGTAGGTTACCTGTATGGGTTGGTTTAATGTGCTTATGACTGAATTTATAGTAGCCTGCGTGGCAGGCTACTATTTCTCCGCAATCCACATCCCCTTTGTGCTTCCTCCCTATCCCCTACCCCTTTCGACACCTGCTACGCAAGCTAAATTTATAGTTGTCAGTGGTCGCAAGGATGGAGTTGATCTTGTTTTGATCTATCGCTATGTAGTTATTTCAGTCATAGCACGATTTGGATAAGAAAAAGAAGTTATTTTGCATCAAAACAAGGTTTACCCGTGTAACTTAAATTGGAATGTTAACGGAAACAAGTAATGGAGAAGATGCCCATAATGCTCTCTGATTAACCTGAACAGGAACCATATGTATAAAGATACGTCATATCTTGGTAGTAAGTTGCCACAGGTAACTTTTTCAAAGAGAAATAAACATTGTAGTTTTAGGTTAATGGAACAAAACAAAACAAAACATCCGCTTGCTTTATCCAGGGTCGAACCCAGGGTTACAAAGTTCGATAAAGTTCTAATGTTTTAATCCAAGATAAAAGTTTAATATTCCAAGATGCTCTTGATACGGTTAAAAATTAATTGCAATGTGTTTCCAAGGTCTCAAAGTTAACATAGTTCCAATGATTATCCCTTATTCCAAGGTATAATAAGTTTACTAAGGTCCTGATCCGTGTCCCATCCAGAAGTCCAATCCATGCCAAAAGCGAGTCGTCGATCGACGAGTCGAGGACAATATTTTCTCGATTTCACCGCCAATCGTCAAGGGTACGAGTTGAAATTTACGCGATTTAACCTCCCATCGTCAAGGTGTTTTAGATAAGAAAAGAAAAAAACTGAACTCAAGCTGTGCTCGGCAAAAACTGGCGAACTCCGAATAGAAAAATCTATCGAAAATCACGGCCCGCAACCAGACGCTACTAAAACCTTATGAAAAAGCTAGACCTAAACAAAAAAGAATCATGAAGGAAAGAAGTAATTTGGCTTAGGTCGCCTTTCGTGACTTGCCAGTAACCCGAAGGATTTCGCTGGTTAACAAGCCATCCTAACCCACGAGTGGGAAAACTGTAGCGCGACAAATTTGGCAAGGAACGTTCTTCAGAGGAAGCAAATCGATTACAAATCGATACAGATTTTGTACAATCTGATTGGTCGGCTTGGAAGAAGAGATAATCGATAAAGATTTTAGGGAATCCTATTGGCTGGCTTTGCAATTTTGGGTACAACCGGATTAGATAGACTGCTTGCATTTTAGTGCGCATGTCCAGCCGTTATTAAGCGCGCGCTCATTGCGCGCTCATTAAAGCGCGCTCTGTCGCGATCGTTTTCGCTCGCTTCGTCGATCTGCCTACAAGTCGAGCTCAAATTTTTTCACGAGCGCGAAATGCGAGTGGTAAATTTAAGCGATGGACTTTGAGAGAGTCAGGCTTCGACCCTTCGTCGCTATTGCAGGCAAGTGTAAATGCTCCAGTACTCCCCGTTACACTTTCCAGACCGCCATCCTTACTTTTTGAAGGAATACCAGCGCAGATCTCAGTGAGGTATGAAGAGAGCATTTCATGACGCTTTTCCTGTTTCGACACCAAGCACATCAACAAAAATTATTAAGTCGAAGCTTGTGAAAGTCTTATTTGTGTGCGACGAGTGGAACTCTAATAAGGGCGGTTTGTCCACTTTCAATAGAGAATTTGCCATCAATCTAGCTAGATCATCAAGGGATGACTTTGCTGTTCACTGCTATGTCTGCCAGAGCAGTGAATCGGACAGAGAAGATGCTAATAAAAATGGCGTAAGTTTATTAACAGCAAAGAGTGTACCAGGAACTTACGATCGTTTGGAATGGCTAAGACTTTCTCCTTCGGAGCTCCCACAGCCTGATGTTGTGATCGGCCATGGACGAAAGTTTGGCACCCCGTCGTATTGCATTGTACAAAATGCAAACTGCAAGTGGGTGCAGTTTGTACACGTATCTTGCGAAGACCTTGGAAAGTACAAACAAACGGAAACAGATGCAGTAGAAGAGAATGAGAAAAAGCATAAAGAGGAAATCAAACTCTGCAAAGAATCAAACGCCGTTTTCGCTGTTGGCTCACGACTGCAGCAAAAGTACAGCAGATGTCTCCCAGACACGAACGTTCACTGCATCACCCCTGGAATTTTGGATAAATTTGTCAGTCTTTCAGATCAGAAACTTGCCAATGTTTCGCATAGTCCTGACGAGTTCAGTGTCTTTGTCTTTGGGAGAGGATCTTATGAAGATCTGGCGCTCAAGGGTTATGATATTATTGCCAATGCAGTAGGTTCTCTTGGGGAGAAGTTTAAGATGACATTTGTTGGTTCACCTGAAGGCCAACATAGAAATATAATGGACTGGTTTCTACAAAATACAATCATAACAAGGAGGCAGTTAACAGTACGTGGTTACTGTAATCAAGATGAAGTGAGAGAGATGTTCTATGCAGCAGACTTGGTTGCTATGCCTTCTCGTACCGAAGGCTTTGGTCTGATCGCCTTAGAAGCCATTTCTGCTGGTGTTCCTGTTCTTCTTACCAGTGAATCTGGAATAGCTGAAGCTTTAAAGAAAGTTGACGGCGGGGAATCTGTGATCATTGACTCAGAAGATCCCAAAGAGTGGTCCCAAAAAATCAGAACTCTGTCCAAGAACAAGCCGGATGAAAGACTCAAAACGTCTATTAATCTCAGAGAAAGCTACAACAAGACATTCCCTTGGGACACCCAGTGTGAGAAATTCAAAGAGATCATTTTGAAGATGATGAGTGACAACTGCTGTGCTGAAAGTGTTGAAGGTAGTGTTTTACTGTTCTTGCCTATCTCGCCTTTAATGTACCAGTCAATTAAAAAATTTAAAATCCTCCCGGCCTGGGGGTGGCACTTAAGAGAGGTTTAAGTAGAGGTATGCTGCTGAGGCCTTCAAAGGCTGACCCT